TTTTTGTCACTAATTAGGTAAATTTCTAAAGCACTCGATTAATCAAAAAATAGATATTGAGTTAAAGAATATTAATTATAGTTTGATCCAAAATGCCATTGACTTTTGATTACTTAGCATTAACTGATGGCATCTTTAAGTAGAAATTGAGGAATGAGGTGAAGAAATTAGCACGAGAACTGAATATTATGTAATAATTTACACTAAACTTCGTCTTATTTAAATGACTATCGATTGTCTATCTCAGAAGCATTAAATCCACGTGGTTGTTGACAAAACATTTAATTATGTTCACTGTCTTGTGGTCAAATATCATTAAAAGTCGAGACGACCCACTCATCATTTACGTTCCCTGTTTTTATGAGCAAAAACAAAAGAACGCAGTTATTTTTTGTGTGCTGTAAGCTCCTTCTAATGGATTGTAATCCATGTTTATTTATTTTATACTTAATGGACATTGAGTCGCATATCGTCCATTCTTCCTCGCTTTATGTTTTGGGGGTTTTTCGATGAAAATAAACAAAGAATATACATCTTTTGTTTACACAAATTCTGTACTTTATGTTTAGTCATTAGATTGTGGTTTACTCATCAGATGGGAGTAAGTTGATGTTGATGACTTATTGGACATATTGAGATGCTCGTGACCTGATTCTTGTTAATGAATTTGTATTGATTGAGTGGGGATTTGATAGCAAAAGTATGTTAAGTGTTTTTGTTCGATTATCTAGGTTTGAATCTGTATTAAAGTCTTGTTGAAGTTTTATTAAAGATTCTTGCATAACGAAAGTTTCCGTTAAAGTCTTTCAAATCAGAGCGTTGACTTTGATTCAAATGAACCAACTCTGGTCTGAGCCTCGATGAACAACAATATTAAATCACAAATCACATCAACAAACATAAAATAATCCTAAATCAAGCGAAAAAAAAATCAATAATCTTGGATGCATTTAAGAGTCGTGATAAAATGATATTAACCCTAAATCTTCTGTTTGATGATGTTGTTAAATTTTATTGACAAAAGTGTTTTCTTTGTTGTTGAAAAATTATGAATGCTCTCTTCTTTATTGGTACAATTTTCTTCATTTATTTGCGATTCCATTTGTTATTGTCTGAAGTTTTTTTATGCTTTGTATCTTCCTCTGGTTATTGATGATAAATAAATATTATTTTATTGTGCTTTTTTGAGAGAGAACTTCTTTCAAGACGATGGAAAAAAGCAGGGTAATTTGTATTCATTAAATTGGAAGGAACAGTTAAAGGTTAATGGAAAAATTTCTTCAAAAACTTTTCAATCGATTTTATATTGAATAAGATGAAAAATTAAGAAAATTTAAAAAGGTTAAAATGCTTTTTAGTGTTTTGGAATGTTAAATTGATGATTATTGAAGTTCAAATTGATGAGATTTGGTTTAATTGATGAAATTTATTCTTTAAATAACATTATCCATTGAAAATTGAACATTTCTAGAAAGGAAAGGATTGTTATTGAGTATAAATGAGTTAAAATGTTTCAAATTTGAAAATTAGAATCTAAAGAATTCTTAAACAATGCTTCTTTTTCCTCTGTTCAAAATTTCAGAAATTTAATGTTTCATTTTCAATGCTATTAATGAACAATCTCAAACATTATCTTCCATTTTCATATCAATCTCAATTCATCTCAATAGGATTATGAATCACTTTTCATGTACCATTTCATACAAAAGAGCATACAATATGCTTCTGAAATAATGAAAAAGGATCAATTTTTTTTATTCAATGTATCAAATTCCGAACAAATATTAATTTTCAATCTACATTTCCCCTTGAATGAAGACAAAGAATGGGATATGAATATCACAAGAGGAAGTAAAAGAAGCGAATAAAATGTGATGCAATGTTGGGGCATTGGAATCGGTTTGAGTGAAATTAAATTATTATGTTGAGGTTGGAATTAAGGATGGTCGGCTTGAATTAGTGAATTTCAATGTGTGTCATTCGGCTATCCTTTATTAATACAAATGATTCAATCTTAAAAATCAGAATTGAACCTATCCTCCTTACAAACTGCGGCAATTAAGATTACAAAACGCAGAAAAGATTGCAAAATTAATTTGAAAATTCACTCAAAAAAAATCCAACCGCAATAAAATTACTCAAAATGCCCCAAGCATGATGTGATACGTTAAACTTGTTATTATGCAAAATACAACAACAATAGTCGAATTGTATGATGTACAACAGATAATCTTTTATAGAATATAATATAAAATGTGGAATAACAAACAATTTTCTCTGTATTATTAATCTTATTGTTATCATCATCCTCATCATCTTTATAGTATGTATACAGACGGTACCGAAATAAAAAAAGAATCAAGAAACTTTTCAATGAAGCAAATGTTAAAGTTTAAATAAAATGTATCGTAATACAATAATTGCTGTGGGCTACACAAAAGTCATACTTACGAATGAACTTGACAGAAATCAATAATAATACTTGAATTTTATTTTTCTACGGGTGCTTTTTCTTCCTTTAAACATTACAAAATAAAAAAAAAAGTTTTTAAGCTTCTTTCAATTGTGAAAGAATTTGTTAAGTTGAAATGAAACTTGTCCATTAAGAAGGAAAGAATCTCGAGAGCAATTTTGAACACACAAAGAAAGTTGAAAAGCTTAAATAAATAGAAGAAAATAAGAAGGAAGTGGGAAATTTGTTTTGTAATTGAGTTGTTATGAGCGTTATGGTATTTTTTTTGTTGTTGCTGAGTTTTGAGCATGCCAATGCTTTATATGCCTTAGAGTTTAATTTTAAAAATGAATCTTCTTTGCTGTTTTTGAAATTTTGACGAGAAAAATTTTGTTGGAATTTTTTTGAGGTTTTGTTTGGCAACTTTTGAAGTTTTGATTTGATTTTCAGATTTTACAAGGTTATGGACTTAAAAATTATGCTCAACTTATTTGGTGTCTGATTAATCTGGTTGTACCTTAGATGTGCACATTTGCTGTTCCCAATTTTAATATGTTCCTGGATTTTCATCCACAAATTTTGTTATTTTTAAAAAGTTTCAAGTCAAAGTTGATTAATTAGCAGAGTTTCGAGTCCTTTTGAGAAACATATAATATACATCACATTTAGTGCAATTGAGAAGAACACTCTTCACAATATCCATGGAAATTAAACTTCATAATTGTTAAGTCACATAAAACAATATCTAATTCCATTTATGTACTTCATTTGTGCATCGTGTAGATTCTATTAATAATTTAGCGAAGTGAAGGAAGAGTTTTCCTTAATGAGACAGTAAACATTTAAGAATGTGCATCCAGATGTAAAGTGATTTGAGAAACATCTCTTTTAATGAAAAACACACCTAAGTCTCAGGGATGCAGATGGAGTAATACTTTGATGACGACACTGTCGAGCAGATACAATACTAAGTTGAAAGATAGACATGAGGGATTAATAGAAAAGAAAGAATAGAATATTTAATAAAAAAAATTTAAATCCAGATCTACTCAAGGCACTAAAGTGTTTTTAAATATTAAAGTTCAGTGGAGATTTTTGCTATTGATGCAGAAGAGAAAGTTTAAGACTTTAGTGCTTTGAAATATTATAAAGAGATTTGAGGATTTTTGATTTCTACATGAATTTATAATTGAGGTAAGTTTAATATCAAGTTGTGATTCATTTTTGGTGGATCCATTACATTCTAAGTAAAAAGCTTTGTAAAATCGATTTGAGAGAAATTTTATAATGTTTTATCAAACATTCGTGAATATTGCAGTTGTTTACTACTCAGAATTGATGATATGTGCCACTTAAGTGCACAATTATCAAGTTAATTATAATATCAAAGTCAATAAGTTGTTTTGATCTATAATTCATCCTTAAAGAACAACAAATCCTTTGTTATGTGCTGTTTGTAGCTTGTAGGAGTCGATATTGATAGTTGTTTATAGCGACTGACAGTTTAATGATTGACAATTAATCAGACTTTAATAACTAAGACTAATATTATACTTTTGAGTAAGATATTCTTACTTTAAGATGCAAGAGTTTTCATAATTCCCAAAATTCATTCTACGGATTCCAAAATTAAAGTTTGAAAGACAATATCATTGTCTGCAGACCTATAAAGATCCAGATTTTAGATTTAGGAACAGATGTTCTTGAACAACGCACTTACATATCACTTAAACAAATCTAGAAGCCGACAATGTTAAATAATTCAGCCATAGCCAAAAATATCCCATGAATATCATTTAAACTTTCCAAAATCTCAGAAAAATGCCAACAGTCTGAAATTAGAAATCCCTAGCGTCAATTAAATAATAAAGAATTTCAATTTGACAACTCCCACATCCGTTAAATAAAAGAACTGACTTTTCAGACGATCCCAAAACATTCTTGTGACTTTAATGAGGAAATAAGACACAAAATAAAGAAGAATAAAATCTCCAGAATGTTCTTTTAAATTCAGTACGATATAAATTCAACCATATTACAATTCTCGCTCCGTTATAAAATGCTTGCAAAATTATGTGCATGAATTTAACATTTTTATGTCTCTATGTGCCTTCTCATAGCTCGTCTTATGAGACTGCTTTTTTTTTATTGTGCAAATTTTCTTTTCCTCCTATCTAAATTTTCATCATTGCTTAAATGTAATTTTTTTGATGATGCTATTTTATCTTCTTTACTTTCTTGTTAGTTCGACTATAAGTTATGTTAATACAGAACACGTAAAAAGAGAAAATCATAAAGGAAGATCAAACGAAAAAAACACAAAATAAAATTTGCGATTCAAAATCAAGAACACGATGTGGAAACTCAGGATTAATCTCGAATAGTCCTACACAATTTCTGAGGAGGGAAGCGATAATCCTCGTGAATCCTGAAGCTTGAAAGTAATCAGAATCATAGCCTCATCTACCAGGGAAGATTTTTTAAGGATTAATCCTAAGTTTCCACACCTCGATCAAGAACGAGAAAAAAAAATCTTTTTGGTAATAACTTTTTCTGTGTCGTCGTTGTGCGCGCCCATACAGGCTGTCTCAAACGTCGTCTTTGTATGAAACTGTTTTTGTTTGTACTCGATGATGTTGAACCGTCTTGTGATTGCTGTGCTCCTGATGCACCGTGTCGTTCTGGCACAGCTATACTATTGCTCTTTTTGAGCTTTGAATGACTGTCTCTTTCCGTTCCACCACCATCTTGGCTATTATAAATTTGATATATTTATATTTTATAGATAATATCATATGCTATACAAGATATATATATTTTTTTAAAAAAAATATGTGAATGTGTAGGTGAGATTGTGAATTATATCAAGAAATAATAATATTAATTTATGAATTTGTGAACATCCTCAAGTTTATGTTTATTATCCTCAACTTGGTTTCATATTTCTTTTCCTCTTTACTTTGCGTATATAAAAAATGGGATGATTTTTATTAACTTTATTATGATATGCTAGTTCCACTTATGATAGTTATTTTAAGGCAAGAAGAGTTGATTTGTGTCAGGGATTTGGCATTGAATTATAGCGTTGATAGTTTTAAAATTTAGGGTCTTAATTGAGAGAGTTAATTTGTGTACGGAGACACAAAGGTTTCTAATCATCAAGCTATTCAGTTGTTAAATCTTCTAAGTGACCCAACAATTCTTCATCCAACACACAAATCCCTGCACGATCTCACAATATATATTTTGATGTTTATTTTCACAGTTATGACATTTTTGTTCCTTCAATGACACGTGATATTTTTTCAGTACATAAAATATGTCTATGTTAGTATATATCATGTATCATCCGTGTGTCCTCAATGTGAGGAAATGACAAATTTAAATATTATTTTTTTTGCTTCCTCCTTCCACCACAAAATAAAATGTATGTGTGTACGGTCTATATTTGTTATGCGATGGTCGACATTATTATTTGCAATCGAATCACATAGGAATGTCTGGCATGAACGTTTATCCAAATGTATTCATAAAAGTTATAAAAGGTCACTGCTGTGTCGATTCATTTTCTTTATGCTTCTTGCGTATTTATGTAATAAGAAGTATTGGTTGGAAGTATAGTGAAGGACGCAGTAAAACAATGAATAGAAATGGAAAGAAAAGTTTTTAAGGTTGTTGTAAGTTGTTGGTTGATGATTTTGCAAGTTTCAGAATTGTTTGAAGCCAAATTTTGATGAATTAATCTCTTGACATTTTACGAGCTTATCTGAGATTCATTTTCAACCAAAGAATGCCAACTCCTTCGTCGTTACTTCTATCAGCACATCTAATGATGAAAAATTCATTAAATATGTGCTGGAGCACATAAAAAATTTATCATTACTAACTCAAACGTGGGCTGCTCATTTCATTCGATTCACATTTTTTGCTCATCATTCAAAAAAAATTATATTTCAATGGTAAATAACCATGGCAATAATAATCATTAAAGCATCTACAGCAACTCATTGACAATGCCAATTTTCATTTCCAGATCTATAAAAAAAAAGAATATTCTCATGATGATGACTTAACGAGAACGAAAAACGTCTTTGACTGTTAAAAAGAAATAAGAGAAAGCTTTTAACTCAACCGAAATGGAAGTTGAAAAACGTGGAAAAAAAATGTTCTGAAGTTTTATTATTTCTTTTATTACTTAACAGTACTTAAGACTTTTGTGCCTGGCGAATCATTTGAACATAAAAAGTATAAAGATGAGAGAAGTCATCACACTGTGATTCATATTCAAGTTGAAGTTTTCGCTGATAATTGACAATATTGTTGGGAATAATTGAATTATATTTTTTTTATCGAGGGGTGCAAGCTTATTGAAATATTATGCAGGTGCCTAATAAGTAAGAATAAATTTAACCAAGTCTGTAAGTTCTATATTCTGTTATTCTGATGAAGCTAGTCGTATTCTAAGTTTGTACCATTTCCACGTCTAATTGTTAATATGATAGCATTTAAGAATAACAAGTTAAGCACCGGCCTAGTTAAAAATTTGAACCAATCAAACCCTTGCAACCCACTAAAGCTAAGGAATTTTTACTTCAATTAGTAAAGTCACCTTCCAAGATTCAAACTCAGGATCACTACTTCAATTTTACAATTTTAAAGTAAAATTCCCAGAACATTAGTCAATTACGCTACTAAGCTACTATAGCTTTTATTAGCAGGTTAAGATCTTCATCTTCTAATCCTTAATTTCATTCCCTTTCATTCCTCACCCCAGGAATTGAAATAAGTAAAAAGGTTAAAACTTTCTTGTTGCCAAGAGGGAAAGAAAGTTTTCTGCCAATATTTATTTGCTTTTGTTGTGAAAACAAAATTTCTCGGTACTTATTTTAATGTTTCTTGCTTCCAAAATCATTTTCTAAAAACAGAACCACCAAGATTCGTTGTCATGGCAATTCTAAACACAAGCCACGGTAAAAGAGCTACATTTCTATCGTTAATGATGTTAATCTTGTTGTCAGCGATGAATATTAAGTATTTTTAAGCAACAAATAAACTCTTTTAATTTTTTCTCGTTAAGTCATTAAGTCTTTTCTTCAATTACTTGATTTATTGCTCAATTATTTCTTTAAATTTGAATAACACGTGCGATGACTTCCAGCTGTGATGAAAAATTAAGAACAAAACTTTTCTTTCCGGTTTATTCACTGAATTACGGCTTAAAAATCCTTTGCATCGACATTTTCCGAGAAAAATTTTCAATATATTTGAGGAAAAACTTTCAGTACATCAAAAAGAAAAGAAGCAAATTTTTCCAACCGAGAAAATTAATTTCACATGAAGTTCATGAAGAAGCTTTTAATCAGCTTTTTACATTTTTTTTTTTATAATGAAAAAAAAAACTCGATCTAAAAATGAGATAGCAAAAAAAAAAGATAATTGAACTAATTTTAGCTGTTCCATAGCTGATTAATGAGCCATCAGCAACCGAATTAATGTAGGCTTTTTGTTGCTATAAATGGAGCCTAGACGTTCATGTCTTAAAGCATTGCTATTGAAAATGTTTTATTTATTTAGCATCAGCAGTTTGTGGATGTAATAACTATGCATGAAATTTATGTACACAACAATATTAATCACTCCAATGTGAGCTATTGTGTAGCAAGATATTGAGTGACTGGATGAGAATGTGTGATGAAATTTTAATGGATATATTGTGAACTCCAAGGAGATATGGGAATGAATATGGATGAATAATTAAAAATTGTGGATGTAATGTGAATTTTATGAAAGATGATTTAATACTTTTGTGAAGTTGGTTGTCAATTTTTGATTGATTAAATTAATTTTTTGATTGCTAAGCAGGGTTTTCTTAATTTTGAGTGACTAAAAGGTTTAAGTTGACGAGATTGTGGCATGATGTCACTCAAACACATTGTCATAGCTGCCAAGCCAACGTAAGAGCTCAATGGGTACTGAAATGTACCTATAATGATGTTAGAGCACACATTAAGCATGATTTTTGCCTCTAAAGGTTCAATTTAGGCATAATAGGCAGACTCCTTGACTTTTGATCCACAGAGTCAACCAGATGAATCATCAAATTATTCTTTTAGTCTCTTAAAAAATCTTCCAACTTCACAAAAGTCTCAAAAACAATGAAAACTTATTCTCAGTCATAAAATTAATTCCAGTATGGATTAGCTTATGTCAAAACAAGTATGTAGCTGCATAAATGAAAATATGATAAAATTTCCATCAAACTTCTGTTATTCATTAAAAAATGTTAATGAATAGTGACTTTATGTAATAAGGATTGAGAAATGGACGAGGAATAGAGGAGTATATGATGGATGTGAGCCGAGCTGCACATGATTTTATTCAAGATTGTTACTTGGTTTTAATTGTTCGTCGATGTCCACCTGAAAAAAAAGTTATTTCGATGAGCCAGCAAGCCACAATCTCAAAAATCATCATGTACAGCTCGGCCATGAAACCTAATAAATAGTTAACGTTATTTTAAAAAAGGAATGAAATGAGGATAAGAGTGAGAAATGAAAGTTATTGTACATTCATTACTTGTGCACTTACTTGGTCTCATCTATGAAAACAGCTTCGAGTACTCGAGCTGCATAGTGGAGATTTTTCTGCAATAACTCGGCAGAAATTTCTCCACGTTGAAGCTGCCTTAAGAGACATCGTAATCTGAAATGAGAAGGAGAAAAAAAGAGAATCATTATTAGATGCAAGATAAGACACACTGTGTATGACTTTATTTATTCTTGGTTGAGATAAAGTAATAATAAAATGCAAACAACTGCGGACGATGAATATGCAAATTGAAAAGCTCATGAATGTAATGATGTTGGGAATATAAAAGGAATGAAATGGAAAATCCTTGAAGATTGGCGACTTTAGCGCATTTGTATGGTTGTTTTAAAAGAATGTGGATAATATGGGTTCGAATAGAAGGCTATAATGCACATGATAAGGATTAACATTTGTTATATTTCTTGAAGATAGTCAGCTAGAACTTGGAAATAATGAGGTTTGACTCAAGCAGTACAAAGGCTGTGTTATCGGCAAAAAAAAGAATTAAGGGTGCCATGATGGCATCTTGATGTATATCTGATGAATCAGAAGTGGATCAAGAAGTTCTTTTTGGGAAAATACCTCGTGACTCCATCTTTGAGTTGACTTTAGTCGTCTCAGCTTATTTTACTTCTACTCTCCTTGTTCTTTTTTATTATAAAACAAAAACAATCGAAAAACGTCTTGAACCAAAGCATTGTATGATATATTAAGAGCCGTGCATGACTGTGCATTCATAGCGATTTATTAATATTTTTTCAACATGATGAAAGCTCACTTGAATGTGAGCCCTTGAAAAATATTTTATTACTGGCACAGCTCATCGAATGTAAATTTTTTTTTCTGCCTCGAATTCAATAAAAGTTGGAAAAAAATTGTTATTCCCTGAGCTTGTTGTGCTTGTTATATTTTTTTTATGATGTACCTCAGCGGAAGTGAATGTGGGCATATAGATTCGTATATTGTTAAAAAAATAATTTGACTTTAAAATACAATAAATTTGCTGAGCCCATTCCATGGATAGATTCTTCCACATCAAAAATTACGTAAAGGTATGATCAGCATAATGAATAAATTAAGATCCGGCAAAAACCAAAAAAAGAAGGGAAACATTTTTTTCATTGAATTTTAAGTTGTGAAAAGAAGGAAAATAGCTTCAAGGTACAAAAAAAGTTCAGATTTCTTCATCATTATTGAATATATCTTGTTGAAAATATTAGAATTATGATTGAAAAAGATGCTGTAAATGTAATTAAAACGATTAAATTTCATTTTTCACTTCAATAAATTTTTCATCCAATTTTCCCTTTCCATGAATTGTTTTTTCGTGTGCTTTAAGGTTGAATTTGTAAGTTTTTGTGGGTTAATGTTCATTCTGATGGATTAAATGGTCATTTTAAATTTTATGTTGTGTTGTGGATTAGACAAAAGAGGTTCATCACTTGTGATGACAAGCTTTAAGTAGCATTGAAGGTTTTTAGTGACATTCCAAAATGTGACTTAATTTGTGATATTGATGTCGAAATGTAGTGCTAGGTTCAAACTAGGATCAATTAAAGTCATTCATGAACAAACCTAAGAAGTTGCTTCCTTTCCAAGATTTCTTACATCTCAAATTTTGAAAATTTAATGAAGCATTTTCATTCAATTTCACATCTTTAATGCCACACTCTAAGCCTTTATATATTTCAAATTAAAAGCACCCAAAAACAAATAAACTCAACAAAATTCATTCCGTCAGTCACAATATCTCGATAAACAGAACAAGACGGGAACTGAAAATATCTCGAAGGCAGTAAAAAGTAAAGTTCAGGTAATTTAATATTAATTTGACATCTTTTTCTCATTTACGTTTATTTTATGTGTATTTATATTGAAATTTGAGATGTATCATGCACAGGATATGTCAAAGATGCCTAGATCAAGGCATAATGTAAAACCTTTTATGATTTCCGCTTACTCAATTTGCTTCTTTATGGAAAATTTTTAACTTTAAAGCAGTTGTGAAAAACGAGATGGTAATCATGTGGGATCAAGTTTATGAAGCTTGAATTTTATTTGGTAAATTTTTGCTGTGTTTTGAGACATTCTTCATTTTATATCTTGAACAATTTAAGAACATTTAGAGGATGTATCAATGAAAAATTGAAATTCATCTTTAATGGAAAGCTTGCATTGCTGTGGTTAGGAGGAGGCAATCTGTGGCTGATTTATAGAGCCGTCATGGGTAGCTACATAGATTCAAGGGAAGTGTGCTTTTCATAGCTCTAGAATCCAGTCGATGGCTGCATTTGCAACCACTTTTATTCAGAGACCTTCCCTTCACTCCCTCTTAGACCATATAGACACCTAAATGAAAGAACCCGCCATATTTTGTTTGCCTATTCCCCACACACAATAATCCCTTGCTCTAGCTCTAGAGACAGTTTCAACATTGTATAAATCAACAAACATTTAAGTCTATCAATAAATAAATAAACAACATTGTATGCATACTGCACACACCCAATACATACCTTAAGGCAGCTTTATCACAAGCATCTGGTGTATCGACAGCAGGTAAATTTTCTGTTGTCAAATCTACATTTTCTAAATCATTTTCTAAGTTAGAGGTTGGTTGCATTTTTAATCGATTTTCTATAAACGAACAAATACCGCTATTAATTTTAGATTGTTGGCTATCAGACGAAAATGTGTATTGCTCTAATTGTTGGCTATCTGTCGTTGATGCTGATGTCAAATATTCAGACTGAGGTTGTGCTGACTTCTTTCCACTTAGTCGACGTACTATCGTCAATCCGCTCTCTGCTATGAAAATAGAAAGAGCAATAAAAATGAATTTTTGAGATGAAAAATTTAAATAAAATTTTGTAGAGGAATTGAAGGAAAAGAAAAATTCATCCGTTATGACATGAAGGATGTAAGTTGATAATCTAATATGTATAAGAATGAGGGGACGAAAAAAAGGTTTCTTTCGACAATTTTTGAAGGAAAGAGAAGTAAATAAATTATTTAAATGAAATTGAGGTAGGTTTTCTGTTAAAACGCAGTTTGGGTTAGCTTTGAGGAAGGGAAATGTGAATTTGAAAGATTTAACTTTAAATTTTGACAAAATGCTAGTGAGGTGACCTAGAAATAACTTATTTTTGACAAAATATTGATCTTAGCTGACATTTCTTTAGATTTTAGGTCTAAGTATGTAAAGTAGGTTTCGATCTATAATGGATTAAAGTAAATTGACCCTAGTCACTAGAAACTTGAATCTTAGCTGATATTCAAGAACAAGGAGGAAGACCAAACTTAACTTTTAGAAAAGCTAGACTAAAATTCAACCGAATATGGATATAAGATCATATCACAAACAAAAATGTCAACATTCCTCAAAGGACATCCAAAATGCCTGCGAATATCTAATCCAATTTCTTCTTAGAAGATTCCTTAAAAAAGGTTCCAAAATTTTTCTTTAAAATTCCATACGCATATGTTTTCATGGATATAGATACAGTAACTACAAATGTTAACAAGATTATTCTTCTTTGAATTATCTTGAATATTATATTTCAAAATTAAGCTAAAAAGGATGAAAATTCCTCGACCTTAAATTTCTTCACATAATTTATGAAATTTAACTTACTTCCTATTTGACCGTTTCTTGATTGTGCTTCAGTCTGAACGTTACCGCTACTGGATGTAGCTTCAGTGCTTTTTAAATCCCTTAATGCTATTGAATCTGTCTTATTTAATATAGTATCTGTTGTGTTTGCAACTGTAATGAAAAGAGAAGGAAAGCATAAAGTTAGTAAAAAAGGAAATGGAAAGTTCTATTCTAAAGCTACATCACGTAATTTTATAGATTTTAATGCTATGTTTTTAAACCTATTATATTAAAGTTTTTAAACATTAAACTTCAGAAAGCAATAAGGCAATTTAATTGGATTAAAAGTTTAGATTCAAATTGTTATCATTCGAATTTGTTCATATTTAAGTATTTTCAAGAGCTTTAAAATTGTTTTATAGAGTATAATCTAGTTTAGTGAACCATATGTAGACTAATCTGCTAGTTTGACAGGGAAACAATTTTTGTAGTCTAGGGGTTAGGCATCAGAGCAGAAATATTAAGCCTCTTATTTTGTGAAGACGTAAGTTCGATTCCCCAGAAACCATCTTCTTTGCAAATCTTTAACAATCATTCTAAAAACTATTTAATTTACCGATAAAAGACTCGAGACAATTTTTTTAAGTTTACAGGCACAAAAAGATATGATTTTATAAAGAAGGTGTCGCGACAGGAAGGCCAGAAGCCACCGTCATCTTGTTAGAACTCTTATTAAGATGAACAAAATAAGAGTATTATAATATAATGATAAAATAGTCTTAAAATGAGCAACATAACATACTTTTAAGCTCTGAGAAAAATTTATTCAAGAATTTTCTTTGTAGAAGCATCAAAGCTTGTTAGGAGGAGATTTCGTTTAAATTTCTTATGATTATTCGCCCTCCAAGCGTTTCTTTTGCAGATGATATTATTTTTGAGGACATCTGATTCTCTCCCACTCAGTTTTTTTAATGAAATAATCATAATCATCATGTTTTAATGACAAGAAATGGATTTTGTGTAGGCCATATGTAGGACCAATTTATCTCTTAGCAATAACAAATTCTATAAAGTTCAACAGGCTGACATTCTATCCTTTAATGAAATTTAATATAAGGGTAGTAAACCATGTCTTTATTCAGCATAAAAATAACTTTTATGGCTTCAATTTAATCAAAAGATCTATCCTTGTGAAGAAGCACTTGCTTACTGGATAGTTCAAGGCTCATGTCACTCACTTCTATTGTTTACTTACAAAGTAAACTATCGAATACTGACTTGCTTTTCTCTTTTACCTTTTCACAACACAAATAACTGTAATCTTTTGTTTCATCACATACAATAACATGCAGTAAGGATGAAAAAACGTGAGTTTGAAGTGTTTGATGTTTTGTTCTATGTTATTTTGCATTTACTTGTAAACAAGGTCAGAGTTTATAGATGGGAGACATAGGAGTGCTATGCAGGGATGTAAATAAAGAGATGAGGGATTCTACCAACTTACCCGAATGGCACAAATCGATTAATCGATTAAAAATCCGGCACCAATCCACTGTGCCTCTGGCATGGTGCTGGATTAAAATCGAAGTCAGCATAAAGACAGATTCATAACGTCTAGGCACCGAATTTATATTCGATTAACCGACTTGTGGTATTCGGGTTATATGAGAATCAGAACCAGGTCCAAAGTGTGAAAGGGAGGGGGTGTGCTAAGGATATTCAACAAGTTCTATTTAAACCTTAATTTAAAGCTCCAGACACTCTCCCGCATGCAATAAAAAACTTATTTCCTTTCTTCTAAAAATAAATTTTTCAATCCTGTCAGCACGACAACATCATTCACATAAACGATGAAAAGAGTAAAGATAAAAATTATTTTTTCAATTTACAAAGCACCCTGATACTTAAAACTCATTGTCTTGGCAGTGAACATTTATGAGGGATTTTTCTTTGTAAGGATTCAGTGAAAAAAGCAAATATTTTGAAACATCTGACTTAGAAAGATTATGTCCTGTGATGATACCCTGATTTACTCAGAAAATATGTCCTTTTTCACATCTTTCTACTTCCATCCTTCCGTCTTCAAAAGCTGAGCAGAACATAAAGCTTTTTGAAATCTCTAAACTCAACCATTCAGGTCGTGCAAAAGGCTTTTGTTTACTCAACAAATGATTTTCCATTTCTTCATTTCCAATTCTGGGAAGGAGGAATAAAATTGTTGAGCGGCTGTTGCTTTCCCCGTTTCCATGGAGCTGATTTATTTTTGAGACAAGCAACAGTATGGTAAACATTTTTATTTCTCATCTTACTTTTTCCTTTGAATTTATGAGTTTTTATTATATTCAAATACTTTTAAGAGGGCGCGTTGAGATGCTCTGTATATTTTGTGCTTATATTTCAATTTAGATATAAAATGCGTCTTGAATGTTATCGATGATTTATTCTGAGAAAATTTGTTTTCAGGAAGGAAATCGTTGGAAATTTTTTTGATGATCAATTGGATTTTTTTGTTATTTTGGATTTTGGATCTTGAATTGGTATAAAATAGGTCCTTATTGTTATTATTATTATTATTTATTATAATATGTCCAAGGCGTGGAAACTATCCCAAATATCCCATTTATCCCACATATCCCGAAAATATTCAAAATAATCCTTGAGCCTGTATGCATTAGAATTGAGATATCCCACCATATCCTGAAATTACACGTCTAATACACTAAGGATACGTTGGGATATCTTTATTGTTCTTGCAAGCAAATGTTCTTGAATCCACGAGATCATTTTTGTATTTAATGGGTTCTGGGCCTTTCTTAAACTGAGCATGAGGAACGCCAGGACTTTTCAAAAGTATTCTTAGCGGAGATTGAACTTGTAAAAGACTAATTCAGTAAGTATGAGGACCAAGTCTCATACGCTTCAGGATGCACTGGAGATAAATTTATATCTTTCCTTTCCTGGGTCAATTCTTGTTAAGTCTTGTTAAGTGCCATTAGCTACAGATCATAACCTTAACAACTTAGAGCCAATTTTGCTATTTAAAATGTTAAAGATTCTCAAATAATTGGCAAAACCTAGTTATCACCTTCTTAAATAGACATTTCCTCCAATTCAATACTTGATAATCTTCAACTCATCATTCAAACCCGTTCTATAACACTTATTATTTTCAAGCTAAGTCTCAATCATCACAATTTGTGTACCTATGTAAATACTGTTGAATTACCAACATCACCCTTTTTAAAGCTTTAATTCAGATCTGCTTTCAAAATGAAAATGTTTAAGTCATGAAAAAGCTTAATTTAAAATGTATCGAAGGGAATCTTGTGCTGCATGACTTCCCACGGGATTCATTCGCTTTTACCTTCTTTTGTTTTAGATTTTTTGTGTAAAAGGGAAAATTTCTATTGAGTCTGAATTTATTTTGCAGTAGAATTAAAGTGAAATTCATTGTTTGGAATTATTTTTGTAATAAAATGATAATAGTTTGTCAGTTTGGAGGCTCAACAGTCTTTAAAATGGTCATAAAAGTATTTTTTACTGACGACATCATATTCAAACTTTCAAATTCATCCACGAACTCTATTAATAGAGGTTAAGGATCACATCCACTTTAAAAATCTCAAATTATTCACTTCAGCATTCCCAAAAAACCTACTAAATAATTTAATACAATTTATCGTAATCTTAAACCTCATGGGACCATTAAATACTGAAATTAACCTTTACCTTTCATGCATTAACAATAACTAAAGCTTTGCTCAATGTTTATTTTCGTTAACACACAAAGACATCATAAATGCCATGTAATGACAGCATTTTCTCATTCCATTAATTTTCACAGCACAAGCGGGATGAATGGAAGCAAAGTCGAAAGGAAAGGAAGAAGATTTGAGGATGAAAAATAGCGAAGTGAGAGACATGCAATGAATACATAAAAACAATCATGGAAAACTTCTTTGGTATGCTCGCTTTATGAGCTTTCGGAGAACCATTGAAAGCTTTTTTAAAGGCAATAATTTAATTCAATGAATCGATAGTCATTTTTTGTGGTTTTTTGCTTATTTTGTCGTCGATTTAAAAGAGACATTTTTTTGGTGCTGTGCTAATGGAGAATGTGGGAGACAAATTCGGTAAGTATCCTATGAGTTTGCAGTTATTATGAATCTATGATGTCATAAACACTTTTAAGGAAAATGGTGTTGCACGTTTGTGGATGAAAGAAGGCATAAAAATTGATGATTCTTGTTTGCACTTAGGGATTGTTCATAAATAATGTCCTTGAATAATTTACCATCACCAACAACCCCACCAACCCCACCAATGAGCTTATAATCTGAATTTATATTTGTTTCCAAAAATTGCCGTTTCATAACCTCAGTTCCCCTCATATGCCCTTAAATGACCATGGCACCCAAAACAAATGTCCAAAAAGTTAGGATGTCACCAAAAATTTGAAAAAAATTGTCTTCAGATCCCCCCCCCCCCCCCCCAAAAAAAAAATTCAGCTTCAAAAAAATCAATTGTTTTTTTTTCCATCATAAAAAAGCGGAGCATCATAACATTGTTCTTATTCCCGTTCATGCGATAAATCTATTGTGTTTACAATATATATTGATGACATTATCAGCTCCTTAATGGAGAATAAAGCCAAGCCATCTTTTATTGCTCTGCATTTTCATGTCAATATAATTTTATTTTAAAACTCACAATGAATTTTTCCATAATTTTATTCATCCCAGTCACGTTCCTGACAGTTTTTTGTGTGATAAATTTTTGCTCAACTGCTTATTCATTATTGGTGTTGTCATTTGATTTAATCAAATTTCCCATAATTTATTTTCATGAACAAATAATTTAAGCATACGAGATTGTGATTAGATCAGTCACGAATATGTGTGCTTGAAGCTTACATGAGCTATTTAAAGCTTATTGTTTTGATTTTGATGTCTGTGCTAATTAAAATTCTGAGATTGATTGAGTTGTGCTTTAGGGCTTATGTTAGATTAAAATCTTTGTGAATAATTTTATGATTTACAGACATTGATATGCGTGGAGCTCAAAGTCAAAGCAGTAATAGCAAGGCCAACATTTTTATAAAATCTGTCAGCTGCTAGGAATGTCAATAAAATTTCACCCGGAGGCAGTAAATAACATTTTTATTTGTCAGTAACAGACTTTGACATTGTTAGATATTTTCATGACTTTTGATAAGGTTGATTTTTTGGTGTTGGCAGGGGTGCTTCACCCCTGAATTTTTTTAAGAGGGGAAATTGGGAGTTGGTTTTCAAAAAACTCTAAGTTTGACCATAAATCCATCTTCTAATTCGCAATGCATCTGCATTTCATTGATAACAATCGAGTCGGTTTTTGATGTTGTAAATCAACAAGTGAGACGATTCTATACTGCAATAGGCCACCTCAATCCTAAGAGCTAAGCATCATTTATGAATTCAACTCTCCAAAAAGGTCTGCAACATAAAAGAATTAATGAAAAATCTACGCGCCTTGATATTATACAAATTGAAGTACACCAGGCACTTCATGATTCTCTGAAAATTGTGCTTTATTTTTCATGAAACTAAATCAAAACTTTACAATGAATCCTTCATTAGAAAACCCATATTAAGCTTCCAGCCATATTTCACAGTCAGTCCAATTTTAAAACTTTATTTCATCTCAAAATTCAATAAAGGAAGCCTAGCAAATAAGACGAACTAGAAAATTGAAAAAGACTCAATTCTATACAAAATTCAGAACGCTGCTGCTAATTTTCTTTCTGTGATGAAAAAATGAGAATCTCGAAATCAGCAGTGACTTGTGGTTGTAATAACGAATCGTAATGAAATAAACAACATGAGAAATGTCAGGCAAATAAAAATCTTCGTGGGGAATCTTTTTGAATTGAAAATGGCAATTCGCAAACGCAGAAAGAATATTTTGTAGATTTGAGACATTGGGCTGCAGATTTACTTATGAAATGTGGAATTTTAATTAAGTTTTTAAAGTTTAAAATACATTATTTAAGTTATGTCAGTTTACTAGCTTTCATGACTCAATGCGGCGTACGTGTCAAGTCCCCAAATGTGAAATTAATTGATTTAACTTATCAACTTGTTTTCTTGAAGTAGGCAAGTTAATGAGACAATATTGACCCCCAAAACTATTATCAATTGAACAAATAAGTCATTAACATCTTTATCGTCTGGAGTGTTAGTGACAAATATTAGAAATATGGTAATTAAAACTGGATTATTGTAGATAAAGTTAAGTGTATGACTAGAACTGACGTTTTAGAAAAAGAAGAACGAGCCTCTAATTTTTTAAGTGGATGGATGTAAATTTAGACTTATTGAATGAATTAGAAACATTAAAATCAATAAGAACATTCGGATTTTCACCCTCAATCAAGAATATGTACCCTCTGCACCCTTTGACTTAATATCCATGCCTTAGTTCACCAAAGTTATCAAAACTATAAATCATAAATTATTCACAACATTTTTTATAATTGCTGTTTTTGCCCAGTCGTCATCAACAGACACAACAGCAAAAAATGCCGGCTAGTGAGAATGAAAACAAAATAAATTGACATCCGTAAGCAATAAAAAAAAATGTTGAGCGTCGAAAATTGTCATGTGAACTGACTTATTCACTTGACAGTAATTATTTTAATGATTTTATTGCATTTTGTGCAATTTATTTTTTGAACTTCATGTGTTATTTGATAACCTCGGGTTGAAAACAATGTACATCACATACAGTGCACGCACACATACAGTCTCATTAGCTATTTTCGAAAATCACAGCTGTAGATCGTTTCATTTCACAAAAACATCTCGTTCGAATGTTATTTTAAAAATATATTTTTTTTGTTCTTCTTCTTTTTTATTCTCGCACCGATTGTGATATTTCAGGCAGTCTATTTTGATCAGTCAGTCAGTGAAGATTGTGAAGAAGTGAAAATTAAAGAAAAAAAATCATCTGTTCTGAATATAAAAATTTACTGCCGTGTACTGCGTGTGTCATACAAAAAGGTAAATTGCGTTGAACTTTTTGTTTTTGTTGACTTTATGGATCATCGGTGCTGATTTTACATAAAGAAATTCCTGATAAATCATGCACTTGTTGACTAAATATTTATTTTTTACATATAATGAGCCAACAAACTTGCTGTGGATAATGATTTTCGGATTTTAAACAATAACTTTTGCGCAATATGTTCATTTTGTAATCTCGTGATGACTTTCAGTTGAAATTTTAATGTTGGTGATTAACAAAAATTTGAAGATTGGTTAAAGCACATGTGGGAATGTCATAGACCCCCTCAGATATTTTGTTAAATTAAAAAGAGTTTTTACGATGATTTAAATGATCCAGCAGATGTTTTCGACGAGATCTAATTCATATTTGCTCAACTTTATTTATAAATCTAAATTAGTCACGTCTAGTTGTGATTAAAGATTTCTAATATGTTGCCAAATTGTCTTTATTAAGCTTTAAATGACCAATCTATCTAATTTGATCAATAAAGGCTAATCCCAAAAATTTTTGAGTTGAGGTTTTTTTTTAAAAATCAAAAATTGATGATAAGCTCAATCAGCTCAAACCATACGAAAATAGAGATTAAAATTCAACAGCATTAGAAAGCAGCATAACTAGAAATTTTCCAAATCCATCTCTCCTTGAGTCTATTTTCCAGAACAATGTAAAATTAAATTTAAATGAAAATCTTTGTGCGCATCACACTTAATTGCTCATGCAATTGAGATTCATTTTGTCATATTGATAATCATAATAATGACACAAAAATCTCAATCATTCAAGCTTCTCTTAATCTAAAATCACATTTTTAAATTAAATTCTCATAATTAAATTCTTAAACAACATTTTACTCAAATTTTCTTTATCTACCAGACTTAAACCTTTAAATCTGTGTAAAAAAGGTCACAGCCCGCATTAAAAATGCGAATTTTATTCCTTTCTATTTTCCTATATTGGAATTTATTGACAGCATGTGACGCAAAAGACAAAGAATGGTGGCAAACAACTGTTGTAAGTTCATTTTGTATTCACTTTTCTAAATCCACCCCCAACCATTCTCTTATGTTCCTTTAATAGTTTTATCAAATTTATCCGAGAAGTTTTGCTGATAGTAATGGCGATGGAATTGGAGATTTAAAAGGTATCACAAGTAGATTGAGTCATTTAAAAGAGGCAGGTGTCGGAGCAACGTGGTTGAGTCCAATATTTAAATCGCCTATGGTTGGTGAGTAGAGTCAAAAATGTGAATATAATGGATATAGCTAAAAGATGATGGTTGGGACATCTGGCATCGTGTTGTTTAATGTTTAGTGCCTATTTTTGAGAGGAAATAGCAAAAAACGGAGTTGAGAATTGAGAATAATTTTTTTATGAGTTAATTGAGTCCAAGAGTGGCTTTGCCAATTGCGACTTGATCCCTAGCAATCCAAGGACATCGATTGATGTCCTATTATGCTAATAGAAATCAATTTCGAATCATAAACTGCGTCATATCCACAAAACCCAATTTATCTTCCACTAAATTTCACTTTATTTTGTTCATCCTAAATAGATTTTGGCTACGACATATCCGACTATGAGAGCATTCAACCTGAATACGGAACAATGGAAGACTTCGATGAATTGATTGCAAAAGCAAAAGAATTAGGTATAAGAATATAGAATTGAAAAAAGGATCCATACCTGCAAGAAATTCATAAATTTCTTTATTTACTTTAACTTCTCGTTTTTTCTTTCTTATTTCTTTTGCGTCTATCCACCTTGCAGGTATAAAAATAATTCTCGATTTTGTGCCAAATCATTCATCTGATAAACATGAATGGTTCATAAAATCCGAGGCTGGAGATCCTGAATATAAAGACTATTACGTGTGGAGTGATGGAAAGCCAAATCCTAACGGAGGTCGTAATATTGAGCCTAATAATTGGGTCAGCGTGTTTTATGGATCAGCATGGGAGTGGAGTGATAAGAGGAAGCAGTACTATTTGCATCAATTTACAAAACAACAACCAGACTTGAACTATCGTAATCCTAAAGTTTTGGAACGAATGAGTGATGTTTTGACGTTCTGGTTGAAGAAAGGAGTTTCTGGATACAGAATTGATGCCATAAACCATCTCTTTGAAGTACCAGACTTAGTTGATGAGCCTGTTAACATTTTCGATAAAGATCCAAAGTCTTATGGACATTTATGGCACTACAATACAGTCGATTTGGTACGTGAAAAAAATAGGAAATGATATTTAAGCCTGATCTACAATGAGTCATCTTGTTTAATCATCAGTTTGACTATTTGTTTGTAGAGTCACTTATTTGTTGTCGTCACATTTTTGGTTCAACTGACGTTTTTGTTTCTGATCTTTAAGTCAATATTGATCTTTGTGGTCATTGAACTTAGTTTTGGATTTTAATAATTTTATTTGATGACATTATAGGAAACCCGATATTTAATGAAGATTCCTGATATAACCATACTCCTCACCATAAGCAAAAGCTATCCATACTAATAATCTTTTTGTTTTCTCACACTCAATTCCACTCACAGATGGAAGTCTACGATGTGATTTATGGATGGCGTGATTTACTCGATGACTTCAAAAAAACTAATGGCGGTGAAACAAGAATAATGATGACGGAAGCTTATGCAAATATGACGTTTACAATGAGATATTATGAGTCTGATGATGGCACTAGAAAGGGATCACATATTCCATTCAATTTCCTAATGATATCCGATCTCAATGGTGACTCAACAGCACGAGACTTTGCACATACTGTCAGCAAATGGATGAATTATATGCCAGTTGGATTCACTGCAAATTGGGTTGTAAGTTGAGGAGAATTTAGATTTTTTTTGGTTGAGGCTTTTTTTGGAGTATTGAGTGCGTATTTAGTAGGTATAAGTGAAAAGTTCCTAAAATAATAATCGCGCTCAAATTGCCGACAGGCTTTCAACAACTTCTTTTCCTCTAAATACTTAATAATAATGGAAAATGTTATTTTTATTCACAAAATCCACCTCCTACGTACAACAATACAAACATAAACACAGTTAGGCAACCATGACAATTCACGCGTTGCTTCTCGTTATGGAGTCGAACGAATTGATGCATTAAATGCGATGTTGTTAACCCTCCCAGGCGCTGGCGTTACATACAATGTAAGTATACTTGTATCTTGCTTTCTTATTTTTGATGAATATACAACGAAGTTCTTCTAAGATTTATGAAAGGTTTAGATGAAAAATGTGAAAGAAGCTCACAATCAGTCAAGTGCAGCGGTCGTTCCTTTTGTTTGTTACTCTTTTCAATTTCTTTTGTACTTTTTCTGGGGGCTTTTGTGTTTTGCTGAATTATAATAAAGGTTTTGTCCTTAGGATGAGAGAATAAAGTAGTGAAGTTTATCGACCTTAAGTTTTGGGTATGTCTAGTCATTGAATGAGACTTAAATTTGAATATTTGATTCAGTTAAATTTGTCATGGTGATATGTTGTGAGTTCATCAGCTTTGGAACCTTTCAATTGTGCTGATATCAACACAGAATAGTTTACTACAGACTTCGAGACAACATTAATTTTATGTGATGTCAAATTGACTCAACTCGACTATTTTGGACACAATTCAACTAAGTTAAAGTCATTTTTAAGCTGTGGAGCTTGTTTTTATGGCAACTCGATGCAAACTTTCCCAGAATTTAAAATATATATGTTACATTATGAAGTTTGTGCAATATTAAACTACAACTAGGATCGATACCCATGGCAACCCTAGAAACCCACCCCTGACACTATCCAATAAATCTTAAATTCGTAATAATTGTGCTCATACTTAATCTTATCTATTGAGCAACTCAGCTAGTAAACGATAAATACAGAATAAAGAACCGAAAGGTTTATGCTGCTATAGAAACGATTATAATCAGCATTTACGAAAAAGTAGGGATAAAAGGAAGCTCAGGAAAAAGGAAATTTTCCCTTTTTTGAATGTTAAAATAGCTTTCAGCGTTGATTTTTGTTATGTTAAGGAACAAAACTTATTTTCTTGTGTTTTTATTTAATTTTCTTTTCTTGTACCTTTAGGGTGAGGAAATTGGGATGGTTGATAATAAAAATATGTAAGATACAGGAACTCAAATTTTTGTGGTATAAATTTATATTTTTTTTTTCATTTCATAGCTCTTGGAAAGATACACAAGACCCTGCAGCATGTAACACAAATCCAGATGTTTATATGAAATTTTCAAGAGATCCAGAACGTACGCCATTCCAATGGGACGCAACAAAAAATGCTGGTTTTTCAACAGCTGACAAAACTTGGTTGCCAGTTCATCCAAACTACGTTGACTTGAATGTTAAAGCACAAAAGGAAGCTGATAAAAGTCATTTTAAATTCTATCAACAACTCATGGAATTAAGAAAACACGAAACATTTCAAGATGGAACTATAAAGGTTTTGGCTCTTACTCGTAACGTTTTTGCATATCTAAGAGAACTCAGAGATAAAGATACATTTGCGGTTGTCATCAATCTAGGTGGAAATGTTGAGCATGTTAGTCTCGAACCATTTAGGAGACTTCGTAATAAACTGAAAGTTGTTGCTGCTGCACCGTCGTCTCAATATCATGAAGGGTGAGTTTTGATCACAAACTTTAAAGTCGTTTTGATTTAATTTTTAATTAGAGTACATTAAGTAGTGGTGTTCATACTTTTTGGTTATACATAAATTAAAAGATTTTAAAAATAAACCAATAAGCTAGTTTATTTTGAAGTTTAGGTGTCGTAGAACATAGTTTGAAAAGGACTGACTTAAAAAGTTGGTGCTGCTGTAAAAAACGTGGAAGTCCAATGCAAAGTTTTCCGAGGACATGAATTTAAATCTAGTCTATTAAACTTAGTACAACAACCTTAATTATTAATTCCTATTCAACTAACCCTTTAATCATTCAAGCTAATTCTACTAAAATCATAAAACATTTTCCACCTCAACTTGGCATCCTCGAGTTGATGCGAATGTCTGTTTATGAAAAGTTTTTGAAGTAACTTTCTCATTGAATTTAACTTTATGATTGGGAGAAAAAAATCTCTGTATACACAGTTGAAGTTTTGAGAACACCGAAAAGGATTAAAATGATGTGAAAATTATTGTAAAGATGTTTGAAAATTTAGCTCACGTAGGAAGATTTCTGTCGATGAATTTGGAGCTTACAAAAAATCTTTCAATGTATTTCTAAGGTTTAGCTTTGTGAAGTTGAATCTTGAATGTTTTCAACAATTTTGTTCAGATTTATCAAATGTAGATTTTTTAAATATTTTTGTGAACTTTCAAACTTTTTTTAAAAATTTTAAATCAATTTAGAAATGAATTAATTTTTTATGAAATCAAATGACGCAGTTCAGTTTATGACATTCAAAAATTTTCAATTACACAGCAAAAAAAAATATTTTCCGCTCTCAATTTTCTCATTTTCATTTTCGGGAAAGTCAATGTGAAATGTTTTCACATTCAACAGGTGTTCAATTTATAAAGAAAGCTGAATTGTGTGTTAATATTTGTTTATAGTAACGAAGCTTACTTCCGCACACACAAAATAAGTTTCTCGTTCAACTCTCTTGTGGCTGCTAACTTGTAACTTTAAGGTTCAGTTTTAATTAAGTTAATTTTCTGATGTAACAAATTGATATTCCTTGGTTGCTGTTGGTAACTTTTGAGGACAGTTCGGAGAGCGTGAGATCGAGTGCTTAGTTTAATTGCTTAGATAAAGTTCATAAAGTTTCTAAGTTCATCAAAAATCATAAATTTTGCTAATGGATGTTTAAGAGAAAGTTTTGTAACAATTAGCTTTGAATGGAGTTGTTGCTAACCTATGTTGTGAAGCTTGAACCTCTATGCCTGCTTAAACCTAGTGAATATTCATCTAGCATCTGATCTAACCTTAATAAGCTTTAAAATATTTAAATTAACACTTTTATTTTATTTCTTTATATTTTTTCAAATCAATTTCTACTAAAATTCACACGACTTTATCTAAACCAACTTAATTCAACCTTTCTGACTCTAACCGGATCACATCAAACTTAACAGAGATGTTGTAGAAACAGAAAAGCTAACATTAGGAAAGAATGATGCGATAATTTTAATCGACCCAAAATCCGCTGATTGTTCGAGTTTGTCAACGAAATGTGATAGCCCAATAGTATTGATGATGCTTGTATTGATTGCATGGATGTTTGCTCATTAACAAAAAAAAAACATTTATTTACATTATTTTGTAGATTGTAGTGTTAATTACTATTGTACTTTTATTCTATATTTAACCATTGGATTTGCAAATAACAAAAAACAAAATTAATTTAATTATAATCGGATAATGATGAACATAATATGCATAAATATTTAATGAATAAATTTTGTTGGCTTAATGAAAGACATTCCCCATATGAGCTTTTCCATTGAAATCATTCATTAATTGAAATAAAAAAAAAAACATGAAAGTCATTAATTATCATATAATGTGAATCAACAAAATTTGTCTGCTTTTCAGCTTAATCATCCCGATATCTAGCGTGACACTAGAGCCTTATGACTGTGTAATATTTACTGATGGAGCGAAGAATCAAAAGAGGTAATTTAATAATGAGCTTTTTGGTTTTTTTAAATGGAGATATTAAATCGATAAAATGAATTGCGCTGAGTTTAATGATCTAGTTCATTAAAAGGGATTAATTTCAATCATATTAAGTAATTCGGTTGAGTAAGTTCAGTTATGATGGGATTTTTAGGGTTAGAACTGCAATTTACGTTTAGATTTGAGCAAAAGTTGACGCAAACTTGCGAATAACTCGAATAAACTAATCCATTTGGATGACATTTGTCAACATTCACTCAATAATAATCCTATAGAACCTTATCAAATCAAAATAACATTACACAACACAATCTCAATTCAATCAGGTCAAGATAAGCAAACAGAGAATGCAACAAAATATCAAATCATTATTTCAATTAATTTCGCATTTTTATCTCACATCAAAATTCATTTTTTCTTCTTTCTTCGCTTATTTCATTCCTAGAAATTTTGTAGATTATTTGGTGATTGGTGTCGGGAAGTGATATTGATAATCAGCTTAATAGTAACATTCATCAGCAGCATATACTCATTATACTTTTGTACATGCCATAATATCAATACAAAATAGACTGGATATAAAATTTATTGAGAACGATGACGTAGGATGATGAAAATGATGATGTCGAAATTGGAAATGAAAGTCAATTTTCTCTGTGTGACAAGCAATTACCCCAAAAAAAAAAATATTCATTATGATTGTCGTTAAATTACGTTCTCAAAATAGAGTCGAATAAAAAAAGGATAATAATAATAATAAGTTGATGAAAACATTAATTATGTTTTATTTTCATAATAAAAATTTCAGCTATTTTTTATAGTCTTTTGTGTCTTATTAGGTCATTTTTGATGTCTTTTCTTAATTAATGAGTACAATTTTGCTTCGTTTTCTTTAAAAATTGTTTTTTTGGTGTCTGATTTTCGATTCTAAGTACCCCGAGTAGCTATAGAAGGTACTTTCTTGAGGATAATCTAGGACTTTGCTCTAGCTTAATCATTAAGCTTGTCTCAGTGTAAGCGCTAGTCCTAGGTTATGTTCAGGTCAAGTTTTCTAGTAAATCCTAAAGTATTAAATTAAATTACATCTTTGCATTTCACTCATTTGATAAAAAGCCATTGTCAGAATATTTCAAAGATAATAAAACTTAATTTCGTCAATCTAAAGTAAACTTGCTAATTATAGTATTAAAAAAATACATTCGACATTGACTGATTGCATCTTTAATTCCATAAATAAAATAACAGAAATTCGTATGTCTATAATCTCATTTGGGGGACATTCGTTAGTGATTTTCTATGAATCAGTTCGATAAGATAAACCTTTTTAAGCCTCAATCGACAAATAAAATATAAAAAAAATTCAGACGGTCTTTTCAGTTGTAATTGAGCTGTTCGAGTGAATAAAACAAGAAAATTCGAGATGGCACTCAAAGACCTTTTTATTCTTTTAGCAATTGCCATCATTGGATTACATTGTGAAGATGACAAAGAATGGTGGAGAACTGCAACATTTTATCAAATTTATCCAAGAAGTTTTATGGATACAACGGGTAATGGAATTGGAGATATTCAAGGTATGAAAAATTGACTAAGATAATTTAAAGCATGGCAATAATTATATAATGCCTGTAGGTATGATAAGACGATTAGATCATTTGAAAGATGCCGGATTTGATACATTTTGGTTGAGCCCGATTTTCAAAAGCCCACAAGTTGATACTGGATATGATGTATCAGATTATTATCAAATTGAACCAGACTATGGAACTATGGAGGATTTTGATAATTTAGTGAAAAAAGCAAAGGAACTTGGTATCCGATTAATGCTTGATTTTATTCCAAACCACACCAGGTAACACTTTATAGACCTGATTTCAAAGTAACCTTTAAAAATTCCTTAATATCTTCAATAGTGACTTACATGATTGGTTCCAGCGATCAAAAAATAATGAAACTGAATATCGTGACTTCTATGTGTGGCACGATGGACATCCAAATCCAATTCCAGGTGAACAGCCTCTTTTACCTAACAATTGGCTCAGTGTTTTCGGAGGACCTGCATGGACATGGGTTGAAACTAGACAACAATACTATTTGCACCAATTTTATCCACAACAGTAAGGATTGCTTAATATTTTGATCACTTAATCTTGTTGACTGAACAATTTCAAGTTCAAGTCGAATTTATATTAATCTATTAAGCCTTGTTATCAGTTATTGCTGGTGCTATGATAAGGCTCAGTAATCACATAAATTATTTCTGATGAATTTTTTAATGCTTTATGAGTTTAATTAAAGTTTATAATGCTTCTTCCTTAATGCTTTTATAGACCTGACTTGAATTATCGTCATGATAAAGTTCGTGAGGAGATGTCAGCAATGTTAAAGTTCTATATTGACAAAGGCGTTTCTGGATATAGATTGGATGCCATCAATCATCTCTATGAAGACGACCAATTTAGAGACGAACCCCATTCAGATCATCTTGAAGAAGGACAAGAACCAAAATACTACGATGACTTACAGCATATCCATACAAAGGACTTGAATGATACATTCCTATTCGTCTACAACTGGCGTGACATGATTGACAAATATAGAGCAGAAAAGAACATTACAACTGATATTTTAGTCATGACTGAAGCATATGCAAGCACATACGATACTATGCGTTACTATAGAAGTCCAACAGATCGTAATGTACGTGGCGCACACATGCCATTTAATTTTCAACTAATATTTAATTTCTGGAGTGACGCAAAATCTGAACATGTACGAAATGGAATCTTTGAATGGCTTAAAAACATGCCTGAAGGAGAGTCAGCAAATTGGGTCGCTGGCAGTCACGATCACAGTCGTGTTGGGTCTCGTGTTGCACCCGAAAAAATTCACATGGTTAATACAGTTGTTCTAACATTACCCGGAGCATCGATTACGTATTATGTAAGTTCATGTCCATTAAGGGACGACAAATGTATGTCAGACTTAATGGTGCAGAAGAAAAAAAGATATTTTTAGTAATGATGACAAATAAAATTTGGCAATTCCTTTAGGGTGAAGAGATTGGCATGCACGATAACAATGATGTTCCAAATTGGGATGGACGTAATAAGAATAGAACTCCAATGCAATGGAATGGTGGCAATGGTGCTGGATTTACTAGTCGAAGATATAATGACACATGGCTTCCGATTCATCCAAATTATCACACCATAAATCTTCAATCACAAAGAGAGAAGCAAGTTAGCACATACAAATATTTCCAGTCATTGACTAAATTGAGAAAGGGACGTGTGATTAGGGAAGGAAGCTTTGATTTTCAAATTATTAACGAATATGTTTTTGGCTACACTCGGTAAGTGATTTTTATGGATGTAATGATAAAGTAATTTAGTAAATTGATAATAACTAGTCAAGTTACCCGATAAGTATGTCAGTTTTAAATTAAATCATTTGATCAGCTTTGGGATATAGGGCTCCCATTAAGCTTGATTTGCGGTTGGACATACAGCTACACATATTGACAGACATAAATTGAATACAATATTACTATAAAAATATATTTTCACAGTGAATTTAAAGACGAGGAAGGATACTTGATTATAATCAACACATCAGGAATGGAACAGCACGTTAGCCTTTCAAACTTCACAACCTTAGGAAATGATACATTACGTGTTCTTACAGCAGCACCAAACTCACGATTCAAAGTCGGGTATGGAGAAAAAATTAAATTGTCTGCCTTATAAAATTTATTAATTGAATTATTTTTAATATCTTTCTTTCATGTAGAGAATTTGTTGGAAAGAATGATGTTACTTTGGGTCTTTATGACGCTGTTGTCTTTCATTATACAGCTTCTGCATCGAGCATTGTCTTAAGCATTAAACTCTTGCTGTCATCAATTTTTGTTTTCTTATTTAATTAATTTGATTGTAGATACTTTATAGAGAAAGTCAATAAAACATAATAAAATAAAAGAATTTAATCAAATGAAATATTCAGCTTGCAATATGTTATCATTTTCGAGGAAAAGGAATTTATCGACTTATTATTGCAGCTCTTTTGTTACTCAACATTTACAATTGATTACAGTTTGATTGATTAAGGTACATGTCATTTACTATCTTACTGTGATAAAACACCTAAGCTTTTTGTGGTGTAATTGAACTTTAATATTTGATGACTAGTTATTCAACTAGAATAACAAAATATGATGTTTAATGCTTAAGAAGGCGTGAGCATTTGATGGTTTGCATAAATAAGATTCTTAACACACGAAAATTTATTGATTTTAGCCTTTAAAATCAAGCGCTACCTATGACCTTAAGCACAGTAATGAAGCCGGCACAATCACACACTATATCAGATATTCCAGGACGCTGATATTGTTACGCTTCTTGATGCAACTCGTTTGAGATGTATTGGGCATGTGTTAAGACATCCACAAGATACACCATCACTCAGAAAGACAGTTGCAGACTTTATGAATAGCAAGAAATCTAGAGAATGACAAAAGAACACCTGGACCAGGGACTGAACTCGCCAATCGACCAATTTTTGTCAATAAGCGAAAGTTGGCTCCTAAGTGCTAATTAAGATGCAAAGTGTAAAATTTTAAAACTTAGTTAAATTCAAAACTTTAAATTCTCAAAATATCAAAATATTGCCTTACTCATTACTTCCACGTTTTAAAATCCAACAAAACAAACCCCACTTGTTGAGCCTAATCTTATTTCTAATCATTTTCCTCATTCTTAAAATCAAAAACAAGATTCGTAGCACACCAGACATAATAAACTCTTATCACCCGATACAACTTTTTCAAACAACATCTGTTGCTAGAATTTTTCATTTATTTCAAGGGGTTTCTAGCACACGATCTTAAATATTATCTCAAATCACAATGATAACTCTCTATTACGTTAATAACCACTTCGGTTAGCGTAATCAATTCGCTGGTGTTGTGATAATAAATGCCATATATAAAATTTTAAGAGTTTATTCCTTTATTTGAGATTGTGTCTTAATTCCGAACCTCAGTTAGTCGTGAGCTATGAAGACGTTAACAATTTCATTAGTTTTATTCCTCGCACTTGCTGCACAAGCTACTGTAGTTGACATTATTAAAACAGACGAGCGAGATAATGTTGATTGGTGGGAAAATGGAGTTTTTTATCAAATCTATCCAAGATCATTTAAAGATTCAAATAATGACGGAACTGGTGATATTAAAGGAATTACGTCAAAACTTCAACATTTGAAGGATTTGGGAGTTACTGGTATGAATTTTACAATTTTGGATCTAAGAAGTTTCATTATTAATTAATTATTAATCATATAGGAACATGGCTCAGTCCAATTTTCGACTCTCCAATGGTTGATGGTGGATATGACATCAGAAATTACACAAAAGTCAATTCAATCTATGGATCAAATGATGATTTAGTCGAATTATTTGCAGAAGCTAAGAAACTTGATTTGAAAATTATTCTTGATTTTGTAAGTCTTTATTAAATTTTCGGATATACCCTTAGACATTCAATTCCATTATTATCAAAACGTATCCCGCCTTAGGTCCCCAATCATTGCAGTAATCAACATCAATGGTTCATTAATTCAGCAAATCGCGTTCCTGGCTATGAAGATTATTTTACATGGAGAGCATGTCCTGTAGAAAATGGCAAGCGAAGACTTCCAAATAATTGGGTTTGTATAATTTTTCAATACTAGAAGAAAGATAAAACAAAAATCAGCTTGAAATTTGACCTTGCTGATTTTGTATATACCTTACAGCTTATTTTAATCATATTGTTGAACAATTGATAACGGCTTTGTTATTTAATTTTTTTTTCTCTTCGCTGATTAGATTGCCGTGTTCAATACGCCTATGTGGTCTTATGATCCTCGCCGAGATGAATGCTACTTGCATCAATTCACAAAGGAGCAACCGGATATTAACTTGTAAATATAATGAGATTTTTTGATGCTTAGTAGTAAAAGGATATTATTTGAGTGATTGCGTAAGGCTGAGGGTAAGAATTTAGTCACAGGGAAAATTAGGAACATATGTTTTCTAAATTAGGTCAGTTGGTTTTTGTCGGTAAGCATTGTAGAATAGCTTGCGACGTTAAAAGCTGTTACTGACTGGTTTGCGGTAAAACGAGAAAATTTTGGCTAAAGTTTATTTTTGAACATGATCGGGGGACGGATGCAGAGGTCAATTGTTGCCCCCCTCCTTCGGGGACGCTCTGAACGACACTCACAATATCTTCAAATTAAACCTTTGCTACTCAGTTGTTTTAAGCATTACTAGCCTTATTAAATGAGTTTTATTTGTATCTTCAAGCCGCATGGAGAATGGGAAGACTAAACAAGAGATGTTGGATGTCCTGACGTTCTGGATGGACCAAGGCGTTAACGGTTTTCGTGTTGATGCTTTAACTTGTCGTTCCTAATCAATTGGTTCTTAATGATGTCCATCAAAAAAAAAGGCATCCTCTCCTCAACCCCAAACAATTCTTGACAAAATTTTAAATTAAAAAAAAAAAACTTTTTTCCTCTTAATTTGCCTTTGTTGATGGATGTTATGTTAGAATCTAATGCATATTTATCAGAATACTTATTTTATGATTTTCTCCCCAACAGATCAATCATATGTTTGAATCACCAGCTTATACTAACCAAGTCTTACTTGAGGAAGGACTTGATCCAAATTTGTATGGCAATTACGACAACAGATACACAAGAGATTTGGTGAGGATTGTTTGGAAATAAGTTTAATCTTTCCACGCCCAGTGTTAAACATATTACAAAGATTCCATACGCTTATTAAGTTCCTTTCAATTAAATTAGATACATGACCTTTCATTTCTTTTTAAAAATTAAATTAATATTGACTTAAACCCACAAAATAAATTCTTCATTTCCTTCTTAACAGAGAGAATCCTACGAGTTCATCTACTCAGCTCGTGAACATTTAGATAAATATGCTAAAGCCAATGGAAATGTCACAAGGTAATAATATCCAACATTATCATTAAGTAATGTTTTTTAACAATCTCAATTACAAATTTCAGAGTCCTTATGACTGAAGCCTACGCAACAATCCCACAACAAACTCAATGGTATGGAGTTAATGACACACTCCGTGGTTCACACATTCCTTTCAACTTTGGATTTATTGCTGATATCACAGCTAATTCTAAAGCTGAAGATTTCAAGAAAGTTGTTGACGAATGGATGGGTAATATGCCATCGTTCACAATGGGACAAGCAAATTGGGTGCTTGGAAACCACGACAGATCACGACTTCGATCACGCTATGGTGATGATAGATATGAAGGCTTAGCAATTATGTCAATGACGTTACCTGGTGTTGCTATAATCTACTATGTGAGATTATTGACATTAATCTGTTCTGATTAATGCAAAAAATGGCTAATCCATATTTTTATTAATCTTCTTATCAGGGCGAAGAGATTGGAATGGTAGATAATAACGATATCACTTGGGAAGAAACAGAAGATCCACAAGCATGTCAATCAAACAGCTCAGTATACAAGGATTTCACTCGTGATCCAGTACGTACACCAATGCAGTGGGACGATTCACCTTTGGGAGGGTTCTGTGAAAGTTGCAAGACATGGTTGCCAGTTAGTCCAAGCTTTACAGACATTAATGTTAAGAAACAGACAGGAGATGAAACGAGTACATTTGCACTCTATAAAAATCTCATTGCTTTAAGAAAAGAGAAGGATGTTCTTAAATTCGGTGGACTGTCCACAAAAGTCATTGCTGATGGAGATGTTTTTGCTTTCGAAAGAACAATTAAGGATAATCCATCAATTGTCACTCTTCTCAATTTAAGCAAAGATAGTAAGACAGTAAATTTGGCAGATCTCTTTAATGCTGACGACGTCAGTAGCAAGACAAAGGCAACTGTTTTGATATCCAACAATAGATCAGAATTAAAGAAGGGCAATACTTTCTCAAACATTAATAGCATTACAATCGGAGGATATGATGGTGTTGTCTTTGAAGTGTCATCTGCTATGAGAATTGCTACAAGTGCTTTGTATCTTGTTGCTGCTTTCTGGGTTGCTGTTAAGTTTGTGTTTTAAAATAATTTTGTATTGATTTTTGGAAGTTATTTTGATATTTTTGTTATGAAATAAATGTTGAGTTTCAAATATTCACAATTGTGACTTGTAAGTTGTGTCTGGAGCTTCATTAACTATGATTTTTCTCATGAATCCCGAGCGGCACAAAGTGGAGGGGGGTTTTCATATGAAATCCATTTGAAAACTGCCTTCACTATGTGAACAGGAAATGGAGGGTAATTTTTTCATACTCCATAAAGCTTCCAAGTTTGACCTGTCTATGGACAAACATCCCTGACCTAAAATCTTCGCAACTCTAGTAAGCTCTTGTTCATTTTTCAAAAAATACATCCACAAAGCCAAACAAAATGTCATTGCAAAAGACAAAAGAACCGAATCTAATTGAAATTATTATTTTAAAGTCAAAAGTTCACTTTATTCTCACATAATAAATATTCAACCATAAAATAACATCCTATTCACATTTTATAACCCCAAAAATTTTCTCTACTTCATACACTTTGATGGTTACAAAACCACACATGACTATCGAATGAATAATGAAAATTTTTGGTTTCTGTTTTCAAAATTATTCTATAAAAGCTGTGAGGATGGAAAGGTTGATGCTTAATTTGTTGCATTTCTTTGACGTAATTTTGTGGCTTTTCTCATGTTTCATTTACGATGTACGGGATGTCTGCTTTTATCAGGAGAAATGTGAGCAATTGTGGGTTTAAAATTAGCTAGAAATCTATAAATATAATAGATGATGACTTCTGAAAGTCCACCAAAAATTAAACTCAAGCTTCTCAAAATCTGGATTCTCTGTTAATTCATAACAAATATATCAGGTCACTTGATGATGAACAAATGATGTAAGTTGAGAAAGACTAATAGAGTAAAAATAAATTTCCAGAAAATTGGAAATGCTGCACTATAAAAAGCATAATATGAAACCAGATCGTATATCCATGAATAAATTCATCTCATTTTTCTTTGTTATCATGTTTTTTTCGGAAAATGTTTTAACCAAAATGTGTTATTAGCATTTTGATAGTGTTCAGATGAGTATTTTCGATAAACGTGATGATTTTTTTGTGGTCGAGAGGTCATGGAGAGTTCGAACAGGGTTGGTGATTTTTGTTTATATACTCAGTCGATACAAGTCTTCATTTGACTGCTATTTAACTCTCACTTAGGTCACACTGAGGATGAAGAATAAGAATTTTTTAAGGTATTTCGTCGATCCCAAATCAAAGGGGAAACTACTTGGAAGGTAAAAATTTTGATGGGAAATTTAACTTTTTTTCCCATTTTTTTGTGTGTAAAAAATGAGAAAAAATTGGAAAAAATGAGAATTTGCCCCTTTTTTTCACCATTTTTGATGGAAAATTTCCCTTTTTTACCCATCAAGTAGTTTTCCCCCTGTCCCAAATATCTTAACAAGTTGAACAAATTTCCTTTTAATCTCAAATCTTCTTGGTTTCATTTCTGCCTTGCTATTATCTATTATTATTTACTGCCACTAAATGACCTCACATCGGAATCAGAATCCCACATATGCTCCCCAAAAAAATTAACATTCATGATTATTTTCTGATTGGATGATAACTTTTTCATAGTCATGATATTTTATGAGCTTTTTGCATTTACTTTGTCTCCCTTTTATTTGTTTGGAACTTATTTCATCTGAAAATGGACTGCATTGTACACATGTGACATAAAGTAATTGTATAGGAACAATAGATGCATAAAGTAAAGCTTTTGGTAAAAAAATTATTTGTTCATGAGAAATGAGAGATGTAAATGGACATAAATTTGAAATTGCATTTTCAATCTGAAGTTTGGAAGCTAGTAATGGATTGTGAGGCTTGATTTTGAATTTTTCCATTCAGAACACATAGAAAATAAAGCTTTTTTTGGGGTGAAGTGAAGCTTTATTCGATGAGACTAAGATTTAAGTTTAGACTTAAATCGACACCAATTCCGCTGTTCATATTAAGTCGAACGAGAAGTTATATGATAAATTGTACGATACATCATGATAAATGCTTTGCGAATGATTGAGAATATGTTGCAGAAATTAAACTTCTGCTCAGTTCCAAAAGATTCCTTTACAAATCGACCTAATATCTTCCCCTGAGACTTAATAAATTACACAAAAATTGAACAAAAGCAGCCGGTACAAAAATAAGAATCACCAAGGTCAACCTAATACAGCCATCAATACAAATAATAGGAACGAATCCAAATATGTAAGCTTGAAGCAAAAGCAAATACATGAAATATTACACATCGTTGACAAAACTTAATCCCTTTAGTATCATGTGAGCGGATTGAAATCTCTCGAAGCAGTTGGACGAGTCGTGAAGCTTTCCTCAACCAATTTCCTTTCGCATCTTTTTTTTCTCTTTTGATTGATTGAGTCTTTTAAGAAAATTGATCGTTTTCAATTGCTGGAATAGATTGAGCCTTTTCATGGTCGATTATGTCGCAAAAATTGATTGTTCTTTTTTATGTCGTGCAAGAATTCTAATAGGAAAGCTAAATTTAAACGATTATAACTGGGATCAAAAACTCTTTTTTTGGTAAAATTGACATTTTATTGATTTATAAAAGGATTGATTTTTTAGTGCTGTCCAATCTTTGATCTTTACTGAAAAGTTAAACATCTGATAGAATCAATTATTTTAGGGTTTCGTTAAAAAAAGTTGTTGAAAATTACGTGACATTTAAGGGCGATAACATGTTTATCGAAACATTTACTGAGGACGATTAGATTCTTCAAGGAAATGAGAACGGACTCTGTTGAAAAGGGTACGAAATATTTTGTAAAGTTGACCTTTATAATACCAATGATGAATTCATCATGATCATTCAGAGGAGTTAAATAGTTTAGAATTATGTATGGAAGAAGGATGATTTTATTGGAAAAGTTTTGATGAAATTAATTAGTTTTGGGTGATTTTAGAGGTTTGAGGATGAGAAAAGAACTTTTAGATGATCCTTAAGCTTTTGAAAGCAATCTATAAGTTAAAAGAGCACGTTTTATGGACTTTTAACGCTAGTTCCTAGTAGCTAGCTTTATATCTAGTTACAAACAACAATTAAGGAAGGTATTGAGACACTGAGAACGAATTCCCAGTTGTTTTGTACTCTAATTCAGATTGTTGAATAAATACCTCAATCTAGCCTCATTTGCACCTCAGTTTAATTCAATTCAATGACTTTGAAAATCTAATTCTGAATCTAAATGACATCCCAACTGTCTTCTCCTTCTCCATGTTCATTTTAGCAATTGAAAATCTCAAGAGCCTCTTAAAAATTGTACCACAGTCCCAACAGTTATCTATTATTTCATTGACTTAAATTCCAAACTATCAAATCAGTATTCAGCACACAAACTTGAGCATATTAATTCTTCGTCATTCAAAAAATGTTCAACTCTAATCAAAATTCACGACATCACGATTAAGAAAATGATTTTTACAAAGTAAATAAGAAGAAAATGTGTCATAATCGGACTCTTAATGATATCTCATATCAATCGATAAATGAGTTATGTCCAGCTATGTCAGAAATTGTGCCATTAACGCCAACAACAATTTACGATTGTAATAATCATAATAATTTATTTTGTGGTTAGCATTCAAGGATTTGCGAGCAATGAGTTGTTAATTTTGGTGCCTTTATGGACATAAAATATTCCTTAACATACTTATGCAAACAAAGAAAAGCAATTGAGTAAATAAATTTCACTTTAATGTCGCCACTAATTTGATGTTAAAAAATTCATTCTAGCTTTCAAAATTACAACTTTCTTTGGTCAAATAAAAAAAAATGGAAGTTCCAGCAACAAAACAAAACTTTTTCTGACCTTTTTCTTGTAAATTGGATGCGAGAAAAAAATTTATTCCTCATAAAAAGGTTCATGTAATGAATGAGACTGAAAGAACTGAGATAAATGATGTAACAAAATGTACTCTAATTTATAATTGGGCTAGCTTTTTTGCTCGTTTTGTGGTTGCAAATTGTTTTGACTTTCAAAAAAATTCAGACATGAATTTTTAATGAGTGGATTATGAGGATGCTTTGAAGTGGGTGGTTGGAGTTTTGATGTTGTGATGGTTTTTAAGTTTAAGAATTGCCAATGAATTAATTCTGGTAAACTTATCATAAATGAGCATGCTTATTGTATTTGAAGGATAATTGATGTAAACTCAAATGGCACAAGTTGGTTAATCGATGAGAAATCCGGCATCAAGTTGATGTGACTCTGACATGATGCTGGATTTAAATTGAAGCCAGTTTTGCCAAAGACTATGCCAGTTTTGTGCAGAATTTCTATTCGATTAACTTACTTGTGCTATTCTGGACAATCTATAGACATGCATTTGATAAGCATCGAATAAGAGAGCACCCTTATGCTTGACCTGTCTGAATACCGTTTCCAAGGATGCAATCTTGCTAATCTTATGCTGGTTTGAGGCTTAGTTTAGATTTTTGAGTCAAGTTGGTACGAAGTTCATAGCAATTTTAAACCAGATTTGCACCAACCCTCATCCAAGGCATGTCTTCATGCCAGCATCAAATTAAACCTCCATCTCCCCTACAACATAACACAAAATAAGTCTCAGACGTTCATTATTCCAAATAATTAGCATATGAGTGGCATAAAAGATTATATTCATCGTTCAAAAGCTCATAAAAGAGGGAATTACAAGATGATGATGATGTTGACGAAAAATTAAATTATAAGAAAATCTTGTCGCATATAAGATCACATACATGAGCTGATAAGCCTCATAAGCTCAAAACAACAAACGAAATAATTAAATTAGTCCTTAAGCGGCAGTAGAAGATAAGACAATAAAATGTAATGTAGACCTGTGACAAGAGATTTTCAGTTAATCTCTTCGTGCTAAGCAAGAGACACTTGATTACTTGATAACATGTTTACGAGTTTATAGCAGAGATAAAATTAATTTTTCTCAAAATTTTGTAATAAGTCCTATAAGTTGTTAGGCTGTAATTATTTTTATTTATGATTCATAGGCACGCAAAGCAGGCATGTTTGACATTCAGTTACTTATCAAAAATTACTGTCAAATTTAATGATAAGATACGTAAGTCAATCAATCTAACACTTGCTTGTTGGTACTGCTTTAATTGTGTGTTTTTAATCACAAATAGTTAATAAATTTTAAGGGATTATTTGGGTTCATTTTACCATTTTTGCAGGGGATTTTGATGGATTAGTTTGACTGCTTGTGGGATATTTTTGAGATACTTGAAACGACTTGAAACTAGATTGCTGTTAATAGTTCTTTTGAGTTTCATTGAGTACGGGCTTTTGTTTTTAAAATCAAGAATACAGATCGCAACCAAATTGAGCTCCTGACATGATTTTGAGCTGAAGGCAAGACTCTTATTGAAGCTGCTTTCACCTAAAATGCGCTTTAGACCCCACAGCATTTACAAACCATCAACATTTTCACCTTTATCCTCTCATTATCTAATTCCTCAGAAACTTTCATTTATCAATTTTTATTGCCCATTGATAACTCGCCACAATCTTAAACAACTTGACAAGGCACTTAAGAGATTTTTGAGGAAAACAATTTGGTCGTTTAATTGCTCAATTGCTCTTGCATAAGTCGGACGGAAGCAAAAAGTGGCTATGAAGCAAATTCTTTTAATATTCCTTGTAGTTGCAAGTGTTGCAATTGCACAGGACAAGGACTGGTGGGAAACAGCGAATTTTTATCAAATTTATCCAAGAAGTTTTAAAGACTCGGATGGTGATGGCGTTGGTGACTTAAAAGGAATAATTTCAAAATTGCCATATTTGAAGGAATTGGGAGTAACTGCAACGTGGTTAAGTCCAATTTTGAAAAGTCCTCAAGTTGATTTTGGATATGATATTCAAGACTTTTTCAATGTCGATGAAATTTTTGGAACCAATGCTGATCTTGCATTAATGTTTTCTGAGGCTGAAAAGCTAGGCATTAAGATCATTATGGATTTTGTGCCTAACCACACATCTGACAAACACGAATGGTTTATTAAGTCAGTGGAAAGAGATCCAGAATATATTAACTATTATGTATGGCATGATGGTAAGCCAAATCCTGAAGGAGGCAGAAATTTACCACCAAATAATTGGGTATGCAAAATTTCCGACCATCAAAGCCTGCATTTGACAACTAATTTAATTTTAATCAATTTAGCAAGCTGTTTTTGCCACACGTGCATGGACATGGAACGAGAAACGTGGACAATATTATTTGCATCAGTTTGCTGCTGGTCAGCCAGATCTCAATTTTAGAAATCCTAAAGTTGTACAAGCTATGAAGGATGTTCTGTCTCATTGGATGACCATGGGAGCGGCTGGATTTCGCATTGACGCCGGACGTGTCGTTCCTTATCAATTGGTTCTTAATGATGCCCATCTAAAAAATTTGAATTTTAAGACCCCTCACTAGCCCTCTATCGTCAACGCTCATTCCTTTAAATGATGGATGTCATTTTGAGCTATTGCATATTTTTCAGCATTTTAATTTTAAGGCTTTCTCCCCAACAGATTAATCACTTGTTCGAGGTTGAAGATTTTAGAGATGAACCCTTAACCGGATGGACTAATGACACAAATAATTATGGCTATACTCATCATTATTATACAAAGGATTTGGTATGTAACTTTCCTAGTTTTATTTTTATTAATTAAAAATTCATATAGACAACTTGAGTCACATGATAGTACTCTACCTTAAATCAGTCTACAACTTTTATGATCCACTTGAAAAAATATTCGTAAAATTATGTTTTTTCATCATTTACGTTTGATTCCGACCGAAATTCGATTCAGCAACGATTTAAATTTGCAAATTTTTCAATTAAAAAATTTATTTTTCCATCATTTCTACTTCCATGTCTCAAAATTCCAAAACAAAAGGATGAAACATACAACATGATCTCAGAATGGAGAACACTTATAAATAAATTCAATGAAGACAATCCAGGCAACACAAGAGTATTATTTACGGAAGCTTATGCGAATTTGACCTTCACAATGAAGTACTATTTTGATGAGGCAGGCAAACCTAGAGCACATTTTCCATTCAACTTCCTTTTGATTGAAAATCTTAATGAAAATTCATCAGCTAATGAGTTTAAGACAAAAATTGATGAATGGTTTGCTGCATTACCAGCTGGTGCAACTTCTAATTGGTATGCATTAGTATTTTGAAGCTAGAACCTATTAAGTCATTATCCTCTTATTATAAATCCACTTAGGGTCCTCGGAAACCACGACAAGCCACGATTTGGATCACGTTATGGAACTGAAAGAATTGATGGAATGTTGATGCTATTGCTTTTATTGCCCGGTGTCGCAGTCACTTATAATGGTGATGAAATTGGAATGTTAGACTACCGATATGGCATTTCATGGGAAGACACAGTCGATCCACAGGTATGACTTCTTTAAATAAACTATAAATCCCAATTGCATGTCAAACGCTTCTCTAATTCTCAGGCATGCAACACAAATGATCCAGTCAACTTTGTATGGGCATCAAGAGATCCCGTTCGTACACCATTCCAATGGGATGCAACTGAGAATGCAGGTTTTTCAACAGCAAATGAGACATGGTTACCAGTTAATGATAACTACAGATCTTTAAATTTGGCTGCACAACGTGAAGATGAAGACAGCTTCTTCAAGTATTACCAACGTTTGTCAACTCTCCGTACAAACAAAGTTTTCCAAAATGGAGACTTTAAATCACATGCATTTAATGATAAAGTTTTCTCATTCCAACGAACATACCAAAATGAAACTTATGTAGTTCTCATTAATTTCGGAAGTGCTCCATATACAGTAAAAGTTAATGATATGGGCGTCAACTTCCCAGAGAAGGCTGAAGTTGTTGTCGGTGGATCAAGATCATGTAACAAAGCTGGTGATATCTTGGACTCAAATGCAATCACTTTAAAGGCATATAATGCTATTGTTATTATGGCTAATTCAGCTAGTGCAGCTGTATCTAGTTTGATCATTTTGATTGCTGGATTTTTGATTAATCGATTTTTCAATTAAAGAACTTTTTTGACAATTGATTTTGGGGTTTATTTATAAATAACAATCCTTAAAGTTAGACATCATTTATGAACGACCCCTTCAATAATTTATGTTATGAACTGTAGCTTATTAAAAGCCTTATTTCAAAAGAAAACACAAATAAATTCAATTTCTTACCAATTACATAAGAATATCCATCAAGCGTAAGTACACATTTTCTTGTCGCCGGTCCGCTAGGTAAGATACTAGTCGGATGTCGAGGTGGACGTGTTGCTAAAACTTGTCCACGATTGCCAACAATCTTTCCCGGATCCGAAACTGTTTTATGTACCAAATCCTTTCCAGCACCGCCACTATCACTTTGTCCATTGCCATACTCTTGTTCATCGTCACTTGAATCACCCATAACGAATTTTATGTTACGTCTGTATTTTAATGGTACGGATTATGTTGCAATATTTTTTTTTTGCTTCAAGGATTTGGTTTATGGATACAATAAAGTGTTTTGCACTCTGGTCTTGATAGAAACGGAGGAGCTACTTTCCTCCTACAGAAATGTAATAAATTTTAAGCTCTTTTTGCTCTCTGTCCTCTAATATCACTTCAATTCTGTTCCAATAAAATATTTACAGTCTTTTTTATGTCTCATATCTCCTTATTATTATTTCTATATCCAATGTTCCGTTTCTATTATTATTTTTGTTCTCGTCCCGCACACGTTTCGAACAATGGATTTGAATATCCGTACCCGAGCAACCAACCAACTAATAAGAAAGCTTCTCGCTCTCTTATTAATGTTATTTAAATGATGAAAATATTTTCTATATTAAAAGCTTATTCACTGCCACATTTCAATTAAATTTATTATTTTTTCTGCTTTGTACCTAATCAACAATAATAAGAGAATGTTGAGGATGAGAATTTATATTAAAAAAAAATTATTTTGTGCTTAAAAGTGACATTCTTTTCAGTCATTGTTGAGTTTATTAAATGAAGATGTGAGTTAAGTATTTTTAATTGTTTAAAAAATGAACAATTTCATGACAACGTGACAAGGTCAATCCAGATTGAGTATAATTTGACACCCTGCACATCAGGCGCGTGGACAAGGGGAGGGTCTGTATTTGGAGGTCAAATCCCCCAACGTAAACAGAATTTTCCTTTATTTTGCTAGGGCTTTTAGATTCACTTAATTTTGTTTTGGATGCCTTAGGATCTACAGTTTATCAACAGATTTGTGACAACTTTAATCATCATTCATAGCCATGTCAAAAGCTGTGACAACCTAGCAACCTAGCTTAGTATGGAATTTAAAACTAATTTAAAGACACTATACGACTCTATATCAGCAACATAATAAGAACGTTGTGAGAGGCGATAGTAGAGCTAGAAGTCGATGAAATTTTGTAGGGAGTTGAGTCGACTCCGCCATACAAAATCGATGAAAATCTCGAGTCAACTTCGAGCTCTGGGCGATAGTGAAGAGGATGAGAACTATTTTTAACCATTGAAGCTGGTTTTTGTTTGCATATGAACAAAATTCGACCCTTGTCATCACCGGAAAAATTTTGAAACTGGGTCCTGACTTAGTCACCTAATTAGCTTCACTACTGTTTTGTATGGAGCCAACAGATTTTTAAAAAATTTGATACTAAGATTAAAATGAAGTAAGTTGATGAAAACGCATCCTCTGAGTTAAAGCAACAAGCTAAGAATACTCATAAATTGTGATCAAAGGGCATCAATGATAATGAAATGAACCAAATCAAGCCAAATCTATTTTAAACCTCATTCCACCGAACAACACAATCCTCAACAACAATATCGAATTTCCATTGTAAGTATCAATTACCAAAAAAATATTCCCATACGATATTTAATAAAACTTTTCAAACATTCTTCTTTGCTGCTCATTTCCATACGAAAACAAACAATAATATTCCAAAACAACATATTGTTATGACGTCATCATAAAATTAATTTTGTTTTGATAGCTTATCATCGTCGACTCAATATAACCAGAAAAAAAAATGTTTTGTAAGTTGAGTGAACAGCTTAATACATTGAAAAAAAAAATAATTTTATTTTTGGGAGGTAAATAACATCAATGTGATAATTTTTGTTTTGCTTTACACTACTTATTGATGCGTTAATTGTACGAATGAACAGCTAATATTAGAGTTTAATCAATTATATGCTAAATATAAGTTTAAGCTGGTGAGATTTTTTTGGAAAATTTTGAGATTCTTGAATTGAATGTTATGCAATGGAAGGCTTGAGATTGTGGATCTTGGCTTGTTTGAGGTCTAGGAAGTTCAACTTATGATGATTTGGTGTTAAAATAAGCTGATATCATTAAACCTTCTAAAATAAACAGGCTCCGATGGGCTGGACATGGTCCAAAGAGACCTGTGGAAGCTCCATCAAGTAAGCTATTTAAGGCTGACTTTTTGGATGAAAAAAGAGCACATAGAAGACCAAAGAACTCATAGAAAGAGGCTTTTGATAGAGATTGTATTGCATTTGGTATAGGAAATTGGCAATCGGTAGATGAAGTATTTGGCGGCAACTGAGGGAAGCCATGGGTGACAATTGATCTGTTGCTATAATGCTATAATGCTTTAATGCTAGAGTAACAATGAAGAGGGAGTCAATGACCAGAAAATACCTCAAACCATTCAAAAATAGCTTCAACGATCATCGCACAACAATTATCGATTATTCATCTCCAAAATCAAAAACACTGCAAGATCCAAAAATTCAACCTTCATGTCATCAACCCCTAATTTTGTACATCTCGCCCATTTTTCGATTAAAAAAAATAAAAACATCCATAATAAAGCCTATTCCCGCATGAATGAAAATTTAATCAGCATTTCTTAAGCTTCCAACATCGACTGCCGCTCGTATAATGGGAAAATGAATTTTTTTTCGCATTCATCCTTACGCCTTTCATAATGAAACTTTATTTATGTATATTAACATTTTATTTTTGGTATAGCATACACTGTATGTGTGGATACAATATATTCGTCCATAAAAATGAACGAGATGAGAGTATTAAATATAAATTAATTAAAGGAGATTAATCTGAAAGTCAATACAACACGCCCGTGGAGTTGGTGAATTTCTGTTGTCATGTTTTTGGATGTGGATTGGAATCAAAGTTGCAATTTAAGTTTTTTGGGGATGATTTGAGTTATGGTAGATGAATTGCTGCAACTGCAACATTTATTTGTCGAAAAACTTTAACAACCAAGGCTCAATCAAATTTTATTTCCATCCAGTGATAAAAGCAGCAAAACATTTAAGGAAGGTATTGCTATAAATTTAATTCAACTTGATTCCAACATACGCTTTAAACTTACTGCATGCATGAATTTCCAGCACCCATATTCAAATACATCCCCACAAATACACCCAAATTTTAAAAATGATTATATTCACTGTCAAAAGGAATCAATACATGCAGAAATAGGCAATGATTGAGCTCTCAATTTTTTTTTTAAAATTGGAAGGTAAATAAGGATGTACAATTTGAGCTTGATTGAACGAAAGCTTCTGTATTTTGATAAAGGTACATCGACCGACCGAGAGAGTGAGTCAGGTATGGAAAAAGAGGAAATATGTTTGAAGCAACAAGTTGATGCTGATGCGGGCTGTATGTGTGTATGCTCATTGTAGTGTGAAATGAACGTGAAAATTGTTCGCATTTAAATTTCTCGCTTTTTGATATTGAAAAATGATTATCATTAATTATTCACGGGAAGCACTAGCAGATGTAATGAATGTTTGATGATTGTATTGCTTTTGGGTGCATTCAGTTTGATGGTAATGACCATGGTTCGTTTTTCGTATTGTATTCTATGGAAACATGAAGAATTTTGAATGATATTTGATTTTGCAGAAACTAAAATGGGTTGTTTTTGAAAATTTAATGAAATTATGAAAGGAACGATGTGCTCGATGAGTATATAATGACAAAAACAATTATCACAGCCTAGGAACGGAGGAGGGATTTGGTCAAACTTCTCGCTAAATGAGAAAATATCTAGAATTTTCAAATATTCGAGCTACATTTCTAGGCAATCATATGATTGCAAAATAATATTCGAATGATGTGCCACTCAGGATGCCCCTCAAAAATAATTACAAAAAGCAGCTTGGAGCTTTTCAAGTTCACAAAGGTTTGGACCTAAATTTCACTGAAATTTCGCATGAAAAATGTCTTTGAAGCCATCAAAACTTTTCTATTTCTTCCTTTATTGCCGTCGTCTAAGCGCTAAAAATATGCGGTTAGTTGCCATAAAAGAGCGACTACATGAAAAAATTTATAAAAAACTTTTCTCATTATAAACAAAATGAAGAAAAATGTTGTAAGGAAATTGGCAATTAAAATGAAAAAAAAACCGCAAAGTGAGTCACTAGAAACGGTCGTGTAGTGATGCTGAACAAGAAAATTTTTAACTTTAGAATTTTCATTTGAATAGACTTAAATAAAAAAAATATGAAGATAATTTCTTAAGCACACAATTGTTTTCATAATAAAAGTTAATTAATTTGCGAAACTTTCTTGCTATAGCTTCGTGAATTGTGGAATCATTTGCTGGAGTTCAAACAACAATGATGAATATTTTTAAATAGAATTAATAGAAAATTTTATTTTTTTAATTAATTGGTGCTGTATATTCTGCGTGAATGATGTAATAAGAAGTGACAGGCGATTTGTACTGAATTAGCATATTTTTGGAAAACATTTTTTTGGAGGGGATTGTTTAGTCTCAAAATCCATTGTCACAATTCTATAGTCAATCGACAATCTAAACTTATCAAAATTTAATTTACAATCAACTTTTTCTGACCATAAAATCTCTTCGTATTCGCTCAACAAACATTTTAAGGCTTTATTCATCTTTTCACCTCAAATTTTTCCATCCTTAATCCAACTTTATCTCGTTAACGCTTAAAAATCCATCCACAGGATCAACAACAACACCGAAAAAATTGTTCACTCTTATTTGAATAAAAAGGCCACAAAAAATATGAAAATTTTCCTCTCGAGAGTTAAACGCGAATTTGCTGTGCTTCTTAAAATTTTGTGTGGAACAATAAAAAGACCATTAGCCTGACAATCTGTGTCGGAATGAAATTTTTTTCTATTTTTTTATGAAAATTAGTCTCAGTTTGAGTTGTGGCTTTATTTTTGTGGCGGTTGATTTTGTGCATGCTCATCAGTAAGTCTGTGATGAAATTAGAAATTTGTGAGAAATTACAAAAATCTTTGAGGGATCAGTTTTGTAATTAAATGTCTAAGTTAATTAGGTGAATATTTGTAAAATTGTGCTGTTGACTCTTTGGATGGTCTTTTTAGGATTATTGTAGCTAATTATCTTTTCATGAACATATTTGGATTCTGAAGATTATTTTTTGAATTTTTGTGGACATTTCTTGAATTTTTCAGGAATATGTTGAGTTCCTTAAATGTGGTCAGAGGTTCAGGTTGGGTCTAGTTAACTTGAAATACATCAAACTTCCCCTAAGTCATCTTAATTCAAGTTCAGTGTAGTCGAGTAGACTTAAACAGATTCTACTTCGAGCCATGATTAAAATTTGACTCATTTTTAGTAAAGTCCACAATAGGACGGCTTATTCATGAATTTGGTGTAGCTTTGATGCCATGCTAGCATAACTATAGCAACAACAATCGTGCACTTTTCTTTTAAATATTTGGCATTTCTAGAAACAAAATTAAAACTTTAAAAACCTCAATTCTCAAAATTAAATTCATTTAGTTCTCGAACTCCTGATGCATAGCATCTTATCGTTCAAGAATTTCCTCAAAACCAACGAACAAAGGAACTTCCAAATTCAAAAAAGATAAACACACACGTGGAGCCTCTTTTTTCTATCAAGAAATAAAAAAAAAATGAGGATTTCATGTCTGAATTGGTTAAGAATCAAATCTTAAGTCTGGCACGTGGATGGTCGATTTGTCAGTCAGAACAAGTTTTCTTATTTGTTCTGATAAATGATTTGAAATTAATTTGAGGAGGAAAAAGATTTAAGAAGGGATTTTGAAGTTTCGACCTTTTTATGTTGCTGGATGTTTGATGATTTCATGGAATTGAATTGAGTTTGATCTTTGGGAGGAAATGGAAATTTTCGATCGAAAATTAGATTGAAATTGATTTGGATGTGAAGCTGGATGGACATTTACAAAAGTTGATGACGAGAAGCTTCAAAATTCACGTTATTGCAAGTAACAATGATTCTTGTTGTTATGGACTGGAAGTGAGTTAAAGACACCCAGATGCAGGCTCTTGTGTTAACAAACATTCCCGAATATTAAATATCAATCCTTAAATCCAAAATCTCAATAAATCTCAATTCTTAACAAAAGCAAAACTTTTCACTATCAACGATTAAATTCAATTTAGATTAAGAAATATTTTCATTTTCCTTTTCATATATTTTCCCCCAATTTCCCATTTTTCACCTCAAGCACATTAAATAAATTGAGATGTGGCAGACAAAGACTTTATTACAGAAACCAAAAAAAAAACTTTTTTTTTATTTTTCTCTATTCACTTAATATCACTCACTTCACTGGCAATTAATTATATTTTGATCATTTAATTTAAAAAGGTACTCTTGAAAAAAAAGGATTTTTTTTTTCACATTTTTTTGATAAATTTTTGTTTTATTTTGAATCCTTGGGAAGATATTTTGTCAATTTTTATCAAGTCGAAGTCATTTGAAATTTTTTTGTAGAATTTTTAATTATTTTAAAAATATTTTACATATTTTTTAAACTTTTAAATACATTGTAGCTAGCTTAATGACTAGTTTACATATTTGAATAATTTTCAACAATGTGAAAAAAACTTTGAAACTTTTGAAGCCAGTAAAAAAAATTTTCAATTGCCAATTTTTCAACTGCTGCAATTTTTATTTGAATAATTTTTGTTCAAGCAAATACGACAGCTTTTTGTAAATGCGAGACTGAGACAGAGATGATTGTTTTATTAGAAAAAATAGTTTTTGACATTTTTAATTAACTTTATTATTTTATTCTACCAAATTAAGATTAGACACTTCTATTTTAGGATTTTAATTCATTTTTGTGACATTTTGAGTTTGTAGCTTGAAAGCTAAATTAGATTTGATTTGTGTAAATTGAATATTTCTCTTTAATTCTTTAAATTAGGCTGAATAAAAATCAAATTTGAATTTTTATTTCAAATTCTCTTCATGATCAACACTTTAATATCCACAACCGCACAAAAACAAACTCATTTTCTCTCGCTGTTAATTTTATCACATTTTTAAAGTGCAACAATTTAAAAAACAACCGCTTTAAGTTCAATAATAATTATCGACACACCTATAATTCTCCAACATGCATAAGCTTAACGTCATTACACTCAACCTGTTTTTTTTTTTATGTATCGCATTATTGTTTATACATGCAGCTACCGTATACAGCTGATCGACAAGATAGAAAGTTATGGACAGATAGTTCAGAATTTGAGTTGATGGAATGAGTAAGGTGCATTGTTTATCGAGTTGTGCGAATCTATTAATAACTACCTTCGACCTCTAATAGACATACTGTTGAAAACAAGCTTGTGGAATTTTATTGCCTTGATGTTTTATAGTTTTTTGGAGAATATTCTGATAAGGTTTATGGAAAACTATTTTGTAAACTAGCCCGAGCAACAATGACTGGTAGATAAAGCAGCTAATGCCATAAAAAAGCTTAGCCAACAAAATTTATAATCAATATCGTCGCATTGAAGTCAGTAGTGACAAGAACTGATAAATCATGTTTACATAGTGACACTAGCTTAGCAGTTTGGTAGATCAATGCTGCTCGGGCAATTTAACCACTCTATTCATTAAAACAATCTAACATCCAACTTTTTATACATTGATTTTATGATGCCAAAGCAAAAATAATACAATTTACAAATTAAAAAGCACCCGCTTATGCTACTAATTTTATCTCATATCCCATATTTTTCAAAAGCAAAAACATTATTGATCGAACCGCTCTATCAACAGCACTTATGCTCATGTATTCTTTCTTTGTCTAACTTTAATTCCCGTATCATGAACATAATCATCATCAAACTAAATGAATGTACATGTGCACGTCCATATGTTGATAATGGTCTTGTAGCTACAATCCACTACATTTGGTCGCTGTGAGTAAATTAAAATTCACTTCCAATGGGACATTTTAACATAATTGGAAGTTCTCTTTGACATGTGGAAAAGGTTGAAGGATGTTTGTGAAGTGAGAAACTAATTAAAGCACACCTTAATGCATGTATGTGACTTTTTTCGCAATTAAAAGCGCCTCAGAAATGCCAGTAAGCTTCCGTCTTGATGACAATAATAATAATAATGTTCCTACATGACTAAAGGAGTCGTCTGACTTTAATTCTTTATTATTTAAATTTTATTCATTGCTACATGTCAATATGAAATATAATCGACGACACATTTGTGATTATTTCATTATTCATCTACATAACTTCTGTGTTCATCTTCGTCTGTTTCTTTCTGAACAAGCCATGCAACATCATTATCGTCATCATTGTCTATTGTATGGAATTTAATTTTCTACAAGCCAACATATTACAGAATAACTTGAAATGTTATTGCACACTTAGGAAATATTTTGACGTCTTTCTGAGAATTGCTTGGCTCTTCGAGATTAAAACTCTTTAACTGCTGTCGAGTTGGTGAAGGGAAAATGGCAATGCTTATCTTTTATTGTGTTGTCTGTGGATATTGATTGAAATTTAAAAAATTGATTGCTTTGGGTTACTATAAAGAGGTTAGCTTTGCTATGTTTCATATGGTACAGATCCTCAAACATGACAGCATATTTTGATCTTGAATTACCAAAACATTTGTATTGACATCCAATAAGACGTAATACCAAAGACAGGCTGTTCGTTATCCTCAATAAAATGTTATCGTTGCAAGATAATTAATTTTTAAAGCTAGTGCATGTGAGCTGGTGTAATTAAAATTAGTGACGAACTGTTATAAGATTTCAAGATGTGAGGAGAAGGGGAGGGGGGAGGGGGTGTTTAGAAAGGGGATTCACCCAAAAAGATTCCTACAAAAGGAAAATAGATGCTTATAAATTTCCAGAAACTTGACTTCAACTGAACGAAGAACCATCAATATAGCTCCTCACACAACTCCTGACTACACCCCACAAATTAAAACAATTTGCGTAAAACATTTTAAATTCAATAGAATTAAATTAACTGCTTGATTTGTGTTTATGTTTACTTCATCAGAATTTTCTTGGCGCAATTTGGCAAATTAAATGAGCTGTTCTGTTATTTTTGGCTGCACAGATGTGCTGATGTTTTCATCAGCGAAATAAAATTCAATTTAATTTGTCAAACATGATTGAAGAATTTACGATGACTTGATTGAGACGTTATGTGGTCAAATAATAGAAATAAAGTTCTTCAAGGGTAGATTTGACTAGTTCTATTATTAACCAAATTAAAAGTCATAAATTAGAGCTGTCAAATATTCACAGATAATTTTGATTATTTTCTCAATTGACTAGCTTGCATAGCTCACATTTCAATCACAATACTTGATTCAACTTTAATGAACTGAGACACGCTGCAATTAAGCTAGTTCTAAATGTAGTAAATTAAATATCTAGTCACAGAGAGTTTACATTTATTGGAATTTAAAAAGCTATAAAATTGTGAATCACTTGATTTCCTAGTCGACATGATAAACAGTTTAGGTTTGCGTATGGGGTTCGTTCATAAATGAGGTCTATGAACTGTTGGATATTTTAAAAAATCGAAGGGCTATCTGGAAGGGTATCGTCGTGAATCAACCTGTCTAATACGACACACTCGTCTTCTAAGGAGTGCCATAGAATACTATAGAATGCCAATAACTACTTAAAATCAAAAACATCATTTACAAAACGACCCCACATGAGAAAGTAAACAGCAATAAAGCCAAATAGATTGATGATACTCTAAACACTAAAATAGCACTCCGATGGGAATATTATACATACTGTAAATATGATTACCACTTCATAATAATAATCCATAAAATTCACTGGCAGTAAGCAGTTCCAACGTAATACATATATTTTTCGGTAATTCAAATGTCAAACACAACAATTACAGAGCATCTAGAATGCTTAATAAAAACAAACAACACGCGCTAATTAAACGATCAAACAAGTTCAAAATTTTCGAGTCTTTACTCAATGTGAGACTATTTTGCACTGAGTTTAGTTGATGAAGAGAAAAGTATACAAAAAAAAATTGATTACTTTTATTCGAATTCTTATTCTCAGCGGCTGTTGTATGTCATATATACACATATGGTGCCTATTTTCCTTTCATTTCTCATCATCGCTCTCTGTTTAATCAAACTTTTAAGTTGTTTTTATTTCTCTAGTGACTTCTTCTTCTTCTTTTGCTTGTTTCTTGCTGAATACAATGAGAATTGATGAATTTCACATCGCTTTAAATTAGAGTCGATTCGTGTGAGATGATCGAATAGAAAAAAAATTCAATTTAGACGTAAATAGATCTAAAGTTAGATCTAAAGCTGAATATTTGTTTGTAATTAAAAATAAGAAAGTTTTAAAGAATATTTTAGTTGATAATCATTCTCAAGCAATTTGCGTTGGGCTAGGAAACTTTCTAGGAACCATAAATTTAATATCTTGAGGACAAAGCTTATCACTAATTTAAGTGTGAAAATAGCGATAATTTTAGCTTCAGGAGTAATTAGAAATTAATAATCGTCATTGCCTTTATTGTGGATCATTGATTGGATTATTGAATGAAAGGTTTTGTTATTTTTGGAATAGATAAATGTATTGTTTGTTATAAATCAGCTGCTAGCTAGATATTGCCGACTTAGGGCTAAATCTGGAATGTGGAGGACAATAGAATCCGTTCGGTGATTAGCTAAGTTCAAATTAATCAAATTGAATCTAAACTTTATTTAAAAAAGCTATGAAATTGCGGAATTTTGTATCTAAAGAAGAATTTGAGCCAAGCTACTACATTGAATTGCAGTGCTTCCAGATGAAAGGTTGGGCTCTTCACACATTATTATTATACCAAGCTATTAAAAATTCTAGCAAAGCTCTCGAGGAGCTACAAAGAAGTTCTAAAACACCCACAGTAATCAACCCACATCTCCCAAACCAATCAGTCGGTCAACAAAAGCCACTGTACCTAAATGTACAATTAAAATGTAAACTCCCAACTTAGTAGAACTTACTCCACCCATTTAATTAAAACATAATGATCAATTAGCAAATTTTTTTATGATATTTTTTTTTTCCATTCCAACAACTTCAAACAACACACAGACGATGATGAGGAAAGGAATGAAATTGAAAAAAAAAAGTTGTTTGTACACTGCGATGATAGACACGAGGAGCGAGAAACACAAACCGATAATTAGTCACTGTAGCAGTCGATGTTACAAATTTGAATATAAATATATGCAATTTACGTCAATGATGTATGAACATGTGTATTAATATAGTTTTAGTGACGTAATAGTAATGAAGGAATGGGAAGTTACACGATATGAACAATAAGATAATACACAATATTGACATTTTTTTTCGGGGTAGCTTATCTCCTTCTTATCATTTCTTGTCTCTTTTTTCGTTTCGCAACATTACATTACAATAGCTGGAGATGGAATGATTTATCATATTTTTTATTTCATATCATTTTTTTCACTCAATTATGACTTATCAAAGTTACAGAAAAAAAAGTTGTTTTTTTGGGATTATTCTTTATTGTTGGAATCCGGAATGAGATTGTTTTGTATTACATGAAACTAGGGGTGCAACTAGGAGGGAGGCTAGCTAAAGAGGATGTTAATATTAATTTATACTAAAGTCTCTTACCCGAATGGCACAAGTTGGTTAATTGAATAGAAATTCGGTGTCAAGCCGGCATGACTTTAGCATGGTGTTGGCTTTAGTTTAAATCTAGCATCATATCAGAGCCTCACTAGCTCAATGCCGGATTTCAGATCAAATAACCGACTTGTGCGATTCGGGTTAAGTTTAAAATCCCCAAAAAACCCTCAAGTCTTGACTAAACCTCTCCATCCATCCGACATAAATACGATACCATGAATAGTAAAATGTCAGAATTAATTTGTATATGCTTTGCATAGATTTCTGTCAGAAATAATTTTTTTACTTTCAATCCTCATTTTTTTACTATTCTTCAATCTCAATTCTTATTTTCTGATCTCTTTTCTATTTATTTTTCGTACATTACCCTTGAAGTGAATTCCTATATTTTTTTAAGATATTCTCTTACGATAGAAGAATATTTTATTGGATTTAGAAGAAAAGGAGAAATTTCACATTTTATTAAATTTAACTGATCTTGTTTGGACTGAAAAGATTTTAAGCAGATCGACCTAATAAGATTATTTTGAATTTCTATGCTTAGAAAAAATTACTTGAGATTCTTTTTCACTTTCCATTTCAGCCAGAAGATCTGACAAGACTTTAGGCAGATTTGTTTGAGAATTCCAAAATCACGGAGCTTAATTCTATTGATTTTGGAATAAAAAGGAAAAATTGCTTTAGGAATTGAAAGGGATTGTCAATGTGATTTATAGCCAAACAGTCCTAAGTAAGCAGTAAGTTGATACTTGATTGATACAAAATTCTGCAAACTTCGCTAGTTACAATTTTTTTTGTTGATTTTTTAAGGTTGAATGTTGTAAAATTTAATGCTGAAGCTTTTTGGCATTGAAAGTGTTTTGGTTAAACAAGGAGGTGACCAAGAAGACTTAAAATGATTCGGACCAATTTTGTGATTTGAACTTGAAAGGATGAAATTGGAAACGTTTCAAAAAATTAAATTTTAAGAGAAATATATTCACAAAAATTGAAAATTTTGTGTGGACATGAAAAAAATTGAGAAGCAACTTCTTCGAGAGTTTAAGGCTCTTAGAAAATTTTCTAGCTATTCTTCTAGTCAGAGGATTTTTGACGAATGGCTTTAGACTTCTTCTATTATAGTTCCTTTGGATAAACATCCCAAATTCCCAATTCAAGTCTTTATCCATAGAAATAAGCCTTTGAAATTTTTATTATTGGAATATCCCCCTGCCGTGGCTACAATTTGAATTGATTATATTAAAATAATCATTAAAAACGTTGAAAATCTTTAAATTAGCTAACACAACTAAACCTAATTTTTACTGTGATTCCAAAAACATAAAAATTATTCACATCTTTCATAAAATCCTCTTATGATCCATAAAAATCCAACATCAATAAAAATTTGCACCAACATGAACATTTAATAAGACTAGATAATATATTCATGTGGCACTGACTCCTCACATCACTACAATGCTTCAAAACTAAGTCGAACACAAAAAGCATTCAGTTACAAAAAAAAAAACTCTAAAACAGCTTTCAAACTGCACATAAATTTCTCTCATATATCCAACTAGGCAGTCTTTATCTGAATTTATGACGACAGTTTATAAAGTTTCGAATGTAACTCGACCAGCAAAAAAATTGACAAAATTTTCCCAAGGGTATCGTAATAGAGACATCAATGTTGGTTAAAAAATGCTTTAACATTATTTATACCTCCATCATGTGCCAATACATGTTAAAGAGATCAATATTGGGATCTTACTTATATCCCTCCCAAAAAAATGCTGAAATCTTTTTTATTTTTCACGTTTCACGACACCAAAGATTGGAAATCCACACAGATAACAGTCACTTTCTCTTTTTATTCCTTTTACTTATTTTTTTTTATCGAAATGAAAATTCGATTTTGTGATTGTTATAAATTATCCGCAATTCAATTGGCCCATTTGCCTGTCAAAAAGTCTCTTCTTGCACCGCACACGAAGGAAACAAGACAAATTTACAATCCAGCGCGGTTGAAATTTCAATTTATCGACAGGAAATTGAAAAACACGACAAACTCGAAAATTACTTTTATTTTTGTCTAATCATCCACGACCTCGAAATCTCTCGGAACCGCGATTTTTTGATTTAATTTTTGACTCAAACTCGAATCAGTAAAATTTTTACGCTGCCGCATTTAAAATATAAAGCTTTTTGGCACGCGAATCATCTACAACTGAGTTTTCCACTTTGCAATTCCCTTTATTTTTTGTGTGAGTTAGATATCCAACAAAAAATCGAGACAGTAACGAGAAATTTGTTTTTGTGCGAAATTATTGACTCTCTTTTTAGCTGAAATGAGACTCAAGTTGCTGTTTTTGTATGGATGTGTGGTGAATTTGTGATTAAAATTGAGAGCAAGAAAGCTTGTCGTGAGAGAATTTCGAGAGGATTTGCGCACATGGGTTTTGAGAAAGAAGAAGAAAATCATCACTTAATCGTGCAACTTGCTATGGCTGTATGAAAAAAATCAAAACAAAACATTTATGCGAGAATAAATTTGCACAGCTGGGTAATAAAATTGAATAATTCTCAGAGAGGACTGAGAGTCACAAGTTGTGGCAAAGAGAAATTAGTGGTGGATTCCGTTCAAAATTTCAAGTGCCTTGTGGATATTTTAAGACATCTGATAGAATTTTTGAGAACAACTGTTATTTTTGATGATGATTCTTAGGAATTAGTAATGATGTGGATTTTAAAAAGATCAAAATTATTGAAAATTTGTTAAGTCATGTCAAGAACTTCAATGGTTAAAATATGGATTTGATAATTCCACTTAGCAGTCAAATGTTGAATGTACTTTCTATAGAAAGGTAAACTTAAATGAGATTTTTGCTCAAATAATTCATCGACCTTGAGCGAAATGTTAAGCATTTTGTAATTACTTTGATCCCGCATGGTTTGTAGTTTGGTTATGAATTTTGACACAAATTTGAGTTTACAAATTTTAAACTTGCAAGTATTATTTCCAACTCAAGGAACCTCAAGGTTCATAGTACCTCTCTTCTAGAATCTCAATTTCGAGTTTAGAGTTATTCTCTGTTCATTGTGGCGTTAGAACTGTAGATATCCCTATAACTGCCATATGTGTATACTAATGTAAAACAAGTCGGGTTCGATGGGAATCGAGCCCACGACCTCAAAAGCGGCGATTTCTGACTACTCGATCAGAGATCCCTGCCACTCGTTCATCGAGGTACTAATCTCACTTCGGCTATCCGTCATACACACATAACCAGTTTTACATTGAGCCCTATGCCCAGGTCTATCCACTACAGATATGCT